CGATGAGGTGATTTTATGATGGTTGGCGGCTTAAAAATTGACAATGATTTCTGACTAACAGATATCAGTTGGTCATGCACCGAGGTACACATATGCACTCACAAGGTGCACAAAAGGTTATCAAGCTAATACGAATCAGCTTCATCTAGGTCACGATAATGCCTGTAGGATGAAATACATTCGTCTATTTATCTTCTATTCTTATATGAATGGCGTGTTCATTGAGAGATGTCCCGAGGTGTCATACACGTATCACTGATGTTACCAGAAGAACTGGCAATGAATCCCGTACGAGTACAATAAGTTACAACAACACCCTATAGCACTAGGCTAGTTACCTGAGGGGCGCGACAAATGAAATCGATTTAGTTGTTTCGGCTACTTTATCTGCTGTATAGTGATTATTTAAAATTGCCGCCAATATCACGGATCAACACATGCTGATGACATACCCTTTATTTAACTCTGAATTGTCCATAATTGTTAGCTACTTAGCACTTTTGGATTTGAACAATACATTACGCAATGACAGGTTGGCGACTGTCAGTTTTTCCAATTGTTTTTCTGCCTTCTTAATTACTTCTCTTACTTAGTTATCCAAAACTATGTCAATTATCATATTCATCGTAGAACAGCTAGTGTGCCCTTGATGTAAAATCAGACGTAGATTTAGTCTAGTACGAGTTATCCAACCGTTTCCCGATTCATCCATGTCCATCTGTAAATTCCACCTTTAATATCGCAGACGCGCATCTTTCTCTCAGTTGCGATTTTTACGTATAAGAACCTATGTACAATCTTCATTTGTCTCTGTTCGTCATTCTGGTTCGCCCTCGTTTGTTTTACTAAGCTGGGTTTGTCTACCCGGCCCATAAAAAAGCGCGGTCATCGGTGAAAGTCTTTACGATTTTACTTATTCATTCATCCATCTCAAGACATTACTTTTCTTTTGGTCTCATATAGCTAAGCTGTTGATTCAGCTGAATCCGTTTGAAATACCTATTTAACCGTGCTTGCCTTCGAAGAATGGCCGCTCTTGCCTATGACGGTTATAATTAGCTTTTGAGCTCGTATCTGTGGCCATAGACATAAATGCAGCTGTAAATTAGAATTATATTCTGCTAATGGCGTATTTTTTATTTTAGCTAATTATGGTTCGTGTTAAGCGTTCCGTTAATAGGCGATAGGGTACGTATAATCGGTAGCCGCTGCCACTGCACTGTATCGCCAACGACGCCAACTATTTCATCGGATCCGTAGGCTCTGTCTGAGATTAAGCCAAGTATCCATACACGTTAATATGGCATTGTACTGTTGTATATGTGTGGCTGTTCATCCGCCTGCGACACCAAGCGGCGACATAGAACGTCATCATTGGCGCCGTGTACCGCTGCCGCCGTCAAAAATAATATATGAGATTAGAGTTGGTGCTAAAAGGGAGTACTGGCGTCTGCATTGTAGTTGTTATCGTCATCGTTGACACTACCCGCATTGATAGGCAAACAGAGACAGGCAGAACGTCGAAAATCGCACGATGATAACAGCTAGAAGTCGACCCAAAGCGGGAACCTAGTAAACCTGGACTTGACCTCTAGAGGAAACAAAAGGACCGTTGTGTACTCGGTTGTTACTATGACAATTAGTATTGATGTCACACTTGAAGGTGAGGTACGATGAGTCATAGTCATCATTGTATGCACTTAACAGTATCAGTGTACCGGATATATTTGGATTTAGAAGACACACAGCTAATCTGATCGCAGAATAAACTGGTCCGTACATCACAACTTAGTAGGCTGCAAGCGTTCGATTCGCAAAGACCGGCGATCTGAAGTTCCACTACGAGTACGTCTCCATAGTACATGTCCCACATAAATTATCACAGTTGATTCGAAATTTTATTTTGACGTAAAACTAGGCTATATATAACATCAAGCGGAGGAGTGAGAGACAGTAAAACAGGTTAGAAATAGCAAACAGTCTTCTTCAGCCGTTCACTGTTCAATAATTAAACTTAATTCAGCTGTTCGATAATTAAGACTGTTTCTGTTTGTCGATGAAATGTCTAGCTTTAAATTATTGCCGAACTTCTACCGCTACTGTAGACCTAGTTTATATTGCGTAATGAGAAACGACAGCATATTCGAAACGAAAGGCCCCGGGACGCATAGGAAATACTGTGGGACGTATTTAGAAAAGCAGATTTTCATAGATGAGGGTTCCAGCTGAGACAGACATTACCATATACTTTCGTGCTTAGTCAAATATAAAGCTAGTTCTTAGAACAGGCACCGAGAACAAGTAGATTCTACGTGAACGTCGTGGCCTGAGGCTCCTAGCTACAGAAGAAGCGGTTTCCAATCGCTACATTAGATCCCGCTTCAGAAAAAGCGCCAACGCTTTTGTTTATAGAAAGCTACTCTGCTGTACACTTGTAAACGACTACGATAGATTAAAGCTAGGTATTTCTCTGTCCAGAGTCGGCGATGGAAATCTTCGCAAGCATCCTGTTTCAGCTCTATTGTTAGAAAGCAAATAAGGCACACTTCATTCCTATGTAAATACAAGCCACTACTTGCAATAGAATGCCGTGCCTAAAAAACTGTGACAACTTTTCCACACACGAAAGTGAACGTGTGGAGTACTATGAGCCTACAGTTACCAGAGCTTCCTTTACGGAAACTGCGGATCTAGACGGCGCTCACGAAACAAGCATATGGCTTTCATTCAGCTGAGGTCATTTATGAGTTTCTGAAGGAGTTAATCGAGCGTAGATGTAACCTGTATGGCCCAGTTACACAAACAGCCCACAAACTACAGCACCTGGCCGCGATATTAAATTCTTATATTAACTAAACGCTTAGTTCAAGCGAACTCTGCTGTGAGAACAAATACAATTGAAGTCGGCAGTAACATCGGCATAACCACTATCACCAGCAGCAGTATATATATATATATATATTAGCATATATAGCACTCGAACGCGCTATATATGAAACGGTGAAGCTTGTAGTTCGCCGCTTCATCATTGGTGACTGCCGTTCCGAATACGCGAACCGCAAAACTAACAATCGTCGCCACGAACCCGCCCCCGCCCCAAACGGTGCGAACTGGCGCGCGTCATTTCTGTTCATCACAAGTCTTTACCCGCCCTGACAGCCTAAGTAGACGATCGTTGTCCTGTATTCGCCTCTGCTCCTAGTAAAAATTGAGTGGCGTCGTATCTGCGAGCTATATTTGAATCTTCTGATTCGCTTATTTCATACTATTCTCTCAACCACGGTCGCAGTAGCGACAATTGCGGCAGACGCATTTCCTGTCCCGTGGATTTTTAGGCGGTAGCAGCGGAATAGTGGCTTTTTTCACCTTTCGGCAGGTATTCCACTAAACAAAATGTGAGGGAAAGATGGCAAGATGCACTTGGCAGTAGAGCGATCAGCAGAGCGGCCCGTTATTCCATGCAGGAGCTCAACCGAGAGCTGCAAATGCGCGCAGACGCACACACACATACACACACACACACACACGTTCGCGAGCATGTTTTCTCGCACCAGACATGAGCGTGCTTGAAAGGATGAAAAGGAAATGAGGCCATGAGGGAGGCAACGGAGCAAAAGCAGACGCAACATCAACTGGCTGTAGACGATACACAAATGACAATTCCTTACCTACGCGGCCACAGCATCAAAACCTTCAGCACCGCGCTACGGCGGCACCTATCACCCCTAACAGCATGAGGACCGAGCTAGCCAAATAACATCAGTTATGGCCATAACAGTCGCCACAACGAATGGCTGCTTAGCATCACTCACTGCTGCAGCTCGCCATCGAGTAGCGGGACCAACTCCGAACTGGTCCGATGGCAATGAATGCACACAAGCAGAGAGCTGAAAACTGGCCATCGGTTAGCCAGAAGAGACGGATGACCGCTGTCGACGGTCGAACGGCAGTAGCAGTTACAACAACAATAAAGGGAGTTACGGTGGCGACTATAAAAGTCAATGAGTGAGTGCTATATGCCGACCATGTAGCAACAATAGCAATCCCTTGCGGAACGTAGCGGCGGTGCTGTGATAGTGATTGTGCTGCTAACACAAAAGTCAATGACGATCATCCAGACGGCGACAGCCCAGACAGTGGCATTTAACAGCAAAATGGTAGATAACAACGGGATGAACAGAGAGCCAACAGGGAAAACAGATAGCTATGTAACACATAAACATTGAATATCTGCCAAAAGATGAAAAAGACGAATTCCTTAATAGCAAAGAATACGCCAATAGAGACGATGATGGAAGATGTAGCGATGGATGCATCAACGGACCGTTCGTCACGCTCTATGGTTCTTTCTCGTCCCATCTTGTTTAGCTTGCTGGGTCTAACAGACAGACTGCTCATTCTCTCGCATCTGCTGAAGTGTCAGCCGCAACGGCATCTCTATGACAATATGTAACTAATGTGCAGCATGTAGCCGCTATTATCTTTGCCGATAATGCTCGACGTCAGCTAGAATCCTGTGGATATTCGTGCTGTGCCTACTTATCTGAGAATTGCTGGAGACAACCTGACAATAGACAGTTGCGTAGGCAGCTACGGAAACAACTGATCTGAATCATCACCATCAGAAAAAGAGACAAGTGTCTACCTTCGCCTCGATCGCAGTGGCCAAGTAATATAGTTTCGCTAGTTAAAGCGTTGTGACGGAGAGTAGCAACAGAGAAAGGTCGATGCGAAGGTGGCATCGAAGTGAAATTGTCTCAACATATAGTGAATCAGAGCTGCTGGATTGCCTAGTATCCGCGTGTCAACGCAAGTCAGCGACGATTGGCAGTGTTGGATAATCTATGCCGTAAGCACACGTTCTATTGCACTCACATAGCTGTACGTACTGTGTAGGGGGTCACAAGGGCACGGACGTCTATCGAGATATGCACGCGACTTGATGGTCCGCTTCGAGTAGGGTAAAACTCACAGTTGCGTTTCGACTATATAGTACTAACCTTTGCTGCTCTCCACGGATACGGGGTCGATTTTGCTCAAGAGGTTGCTGATGACACTCTTCGTTGAAGCAGAAGGCAGTATCCTTTGTTGTAAGGGCTGTACACGAAAAACGAGCGTCGTCTTTGTTTACAATGAAGCGATATTCCGTAATGAGAATGATTTGGCAAAAACACTCTTATCCGAATAGAAGTTGATATCGGTAGCTATTAATACGTATTTGCACAACATCCAGCAGAAAATCAGATATTTCCTGTTATTGCTGCTGCCGTCCTTCGTGCTGTCATCGTTCCCGCTGTTGCGATCTCGCTAACAAATACACGCCATATACAACTGGATATAAAGTCGTATTAAACCTCCACCTCAAGTCGAAATTCGTTCGTAATCGTTGACAATCATTTCCTTGTTACTCTAACACAATGATACAACAACAGAGTGTTTACCATAAAGACACACGCATACACACCCCAACAAAATATAGACAATGTAATATCTATGACAATGATAGCAGCTTAGCAGAGCAAGCATTTCAACGTTTCGTTTTCTGGTTGTCGAGCGACGTTCTGTCAGCTGATAGAATCGGCGTTATCCCCGTCGGTCCTATAGGACAGGCGCAAAATCGAATAAAACTTTTGTTGTGATATTTCTGTAAAATAACACGACGTCCAGCATAGACCTGGTCTCCTAGTGCCGGTCGCTGGGTCTGGCCAACGCGGGAGCCCGCCGAAGCCATCGCGTCATCGTGCCGCGGCTCGCCGGGAGAGGGCGTCGCAGTCGGAAAGGGTGAGCGTTCGCTGCATTCTCTGCCAGATGATTTGGGGCGAGTGGCGCGAGAGAAGAACAGCAAAGACTCAGAAAAAGAGGAAGACAGTTGAACTAAAAAACAAATAGCATCTGCATAATAGATTGCACCGATATTATTATGGGTCTTTAGAAAATGAAATTCAGCCGGAACTTCAACGACGATGGCAACAATAGCGAGAAAGAGGGGAGTGAACCTGATCTCCAAAAGAGAAATTATCAAATTATGGAGCATATATATTCTAACCGATCAATGCCATTGGTCTGATTTGTATTCCCTTTGTATCGTTTTGCGTTTGTTCATTATTAAGTCTTCGTTTCATTAAGCAACAATTGAAAATTAGGCGGTCAGTTTCGCAGTTGGTAACACGGAACTAGTCGTAACTTCATAATTAAAGCTTGTCATATCAAAGGAAATTTTCACCTGTTCTAGGTTTGTCCCCTTTAGACAAGTCATACATCTAGAAATCTACAAGATTTGAAAAAGTTAGCTCAGCAAAATAGAGAACGACTGCGCATTTCCGAAAATTTTACATAAAAATTGTAGAAAGAAAAGCTGGTTTAGTAGGATCTCGTTCAAAGAAGCAAGAAAAGGGATGAATTATACTACAGTACATTCCAATCGCCTTTTATTTAAATACCGGGTGGCAGATTGATTAATCAGTTGACTTCAGCAAGGCATGTCATTCCTTTAGGCAGGTTCTCATTTAAAAACCTTTACTAAACACACTTTATGAGGATCGTATGTAGATTAATTATGCTATTACACACGTAACGCATGATACTCTACTTCACATAAAAGTTAAGGCATTTGGTTTTATATTTATGACAAGATAGCAGAGGAAAATCTAAAATTAAACTATCACTCTAAAGTAGCATTTCATAATCCTGTTTCCTGAAACAATAAGATAAGATCTATATTGATCCATATCAATTATTTACCTTTAATAGGTAAATGTCAACAGCTTCAATAGACATGCATTTACACGTACATATGTGAATACTGATCTGCCCTTTGGCGTAGAAATATAGCAACGGTAAGGTATAAAAAAGCCTACTTGTTTAAGATCACAAAATCACAATTTGCACAAGTAAAATTATTTATATCAGGTTGATGATGATATGTAATGTCATTACCTGATGTCAACGTCACTGAGTGATTTAAGTATGTAGTGCTCATTGTTTGTGGGCTAGGCCATCTGGCGGAGGCACATCAAGATTACGCGGTACTACATGAGAGGCGCTCCGCATCTCACACCAGAGCAGCGATCGTTCACTTTATGGAAACCTCAAGTCAGGTATTGTTTGCGATGAAACAATGTAAGGCAAAACAAGTGATGACATAGCGGTTCATCCTGTCACGCATTTTTTTCATGTAGTATGTTTATTGCTGTGATATTGTAGAGTTTTGAGTCGATTGCCGCGAATTTTTACTACCATGCTTAAATCGCTTCTTTTTAGGTAATCGTTCTTGGCAGTTCAAATTGAAGGTTGACTTGTATTTTCCGTTTCTTGGGCTATTTACAAGGATGTACTAGATACAGGTAGCGATGAAGCGCCATCACTTACTTTAGGTAACATGCTTTTCCCTGATTTAACTGTTCTAAATTCTCCATATTAGGGCTCACATGACCGTCACTCGCAAATTGCCACAATGGCTGCATTCTTGACAGTTGCCATAGTCGACAAAGCTTTGCTGCATTTCTTCGTGTTGTGTGAAAAGGATTTTTCGCCACTGGAAGAGCTGAGCAGCCAAAGTAAAGAAAGCTGCTAGCCTAATTTAGGGGTCTAGTAACTAGGTAGAGGGTGTTACTTCCCGCCTTCTCCTCGTCCGAACGGCACCGTCTCTACCTTTGACAATAATCGATGTTAGCTTTCGATCAATAACAGCTTTATGGAGCCTGGCTATAGGTAGATGCAACTTACCGCATAAATCATCTGTGCATCGAAAAATTAAAGAAGGCAACTGAAATAGTGAACGTTACAAGAGTCCAGTGATTTGAAAGTGACTTCTAAGAAACTCATGTGGCCCCGAAATTGCTTTGAAATTCCTTGCACAAGGCTAAGAAGAAGACCGAGCTTTGATTACCCTTTGTACGAACACTGTAGGTTATAAAGGCATGCTGCTTTTCTGCAAAGTTCCATTCCGCCACTCTGTCGTCAAACGCTATACTGTTCTTTTCCATAGCTGTCACTGCTCGACTATTACCAATTTCTGCTAGGATAGGCAATAAGATGCTTCTTTGCTTGGAGTAGAAGACAGATCTCGAACCAGCAAATACGGTGTCTGGCTACTGCTCCCCTGTCTAATTATTAGATAGGTTAGCAGCCTGCACTAAACAGCTTTCTTTGTAATTGCTCGCCACGAGGCCGGTTATGCTGGGTAATTCTTGTTTTGAGTTAACTTGGAGCGCGGCATCCCTTCACTGACCAAGAAGCCCTTCAAAAAAGGCATGTTGATTCAACCATTCATGCCATTCAGCCCGGTGCTAACACGAGAACCTTCTTGACATGTTGGTATTGAACACCATTCGGTTCAAGTGCTCTGTTGGAGTGTGATCTTTCGAGAGCCAACAAAAACTCCCGAACCCTGAAATACCACTTCATAAATCGGTTCACTCGGGACTCACGACGGTGACAGCGTCATCTGGGAAATCGCGTCATCCGCCTCTTCAGACGTTATCTCCGCAGATTGTCGCCTGACTCTCTGTGAACCGCAGAGACCTTTTAACTGTTTGAGCACATCAAGTGAATCCCGTCGTCTCCCAAAACGTTATGGGTAGGAAAATGAACTATTAAAAAAAGATGACTGAAGTGAACAATTTCCCATGAGTCCATCGTTTTGAGAATGATTGATGCTAACAGGAAGCCTTAGTCAGGCAAACATGGATGGCTATCTGTTTCATAAGTGTTCAACAACTGGAATTAGCAAAATGTATTTGAGCTCAGTTATATGCATAAGGGTTGCTCATAAATGAGAAAAACTTCTTCAAGAAAGTTAAGAAACTTTCGCTTGCCTGGTTATATAGTTATTATGCGAAAATTTGAAGAAATACGGATAAGTTCGAGATAACTACGTAGCGAGTCCTGTAGTACCCAAAGCTGTTGGCTGCTGCCGAGAAAAATCTGGAGGAACTTCCAGCTGACATGAATTGCACCATAGCACCACTGAACCATATCAGCCATTTCTTGTTGTTAATTTGTAGGTAAACTGTTTAAATAGTAAAATTAAAATTGAGCGCAATTTTAAATAGTATTTTTTATTACATTCTTTTCGCGCTGTGCCGCACAATGGAGTTGTTTTATGTCTCCTTAGAGTATCTAATTTACATTCGCTGGAAAACCGAATAGCGCTATCATCAGGAAAAACAACAAAAAAACACAAGAAAAATAAGCTCTAATCAAAGCTATCAATATGGGCATTTGAGTATGGAAGAGAACTCAGTTTCGATGTCTACAACGCTTACTTGATTTGTGCTCTTTGACAAAATTTATCACTACCTAGAAGTGTATCTGCTTAAACGCGATGAAACCTATCGTTTGGTCCAACATATATATCCCGAGTGAAAGTTGTTTTTATGTGATGATGTAATTTTCATTCTACGAATTCTTTCTTAAACGGTGCTCGAGGGGAGACTCGTAAAGCGGGTACATTTATTACTAGGGCTGTATCATACACCCTGCTACATCATTGATCTTTTATACTGATTAATTTTACAACAACACATGTTTGCGAAGCTGCTAAAGAAAACTGGAAATCCTCGAACGCTTGCCAATTTTCGGGATGCTAGAGCTGAACGAAAGGCTATCTTTCTGATCTGAGGTATACACATATATCCATATATACACAGGTGATGGTAATAATAAACGAAGCTCTGAGGATCAGGTTTCACCTTAAAAAATCTATCTAATCAAGGTCTGTGTATTTTTTTTAATAAATCAATACATGTTTATATGATTATCGATTATTTACTTTATGATGTCGAACCGACCCGCTACTTAAGTAGGTTTAACCTGTGCACGATAATAAGCCACATGTAGAAGATTATGTGAGATTATTGCCATAGATTATCAAACTGGATAGCACCTCATCTTTGGCTGTTTTCACTTAAAATTGTCTGGACCTTAGTCCTTACAGTGAAAGACATTTTATCAACTCCTTCATGAATAAATAAGAACCTACAAAAGTTGTTCGTTTATTAATAATGCGTTGGCTCGTTTTCAGCTATTGTTTCACGTTCGTGGACGCCATCATACACATAAAGCTATATGAACCGGTTTATATACTCTGCGGATTCTACAGGGATACTATGAGGCCCGTTTTTGCGCCGGAGAGCAGAGAGTTTGCTGTAAATACCGTCAACGGCACATAAATAGTATACCTTTTGTATTAATAAAGATTAGGTTATCGTTTCTATAGGGTTGGAACCTCTCAACAGCACCACGTTTCTAAAAGCCCGATGTCTTTGGCGCTGTAGGACTAATCTTAAATATGTTACGCGCAGTAACATTCAGAGTAATTAAACATTAATATGTATCGTGGTCAGATCAATAGACATAATAATCAACGAGTCCCAGCTAGAAATCAAATTTTAGGCCTCCTAGTTACACCATTACAATAAACCTGAAGTGGCTAATTAATAGGCGTTCCTTACGAGCAGTACATACCTGTCTGTATATGACATTGTGGCTGTAATATTCGCCGGCAAACATAACATTTAGTAGGCATTTAGTAGTTTAGGCAAACAAGTAGATTCTTCGTTGGCAAACACCAGCTAAAAGGGCAGAGCTTTATACTGGCCTTAGAACACCAGGCTTTGCCTATATTAGTAAGCAAGACAGACTCTTTAATGTTTATTTTTTAACGCATTTATTGAATGTGGTGTATTTATCGATAATAATTCTATGATGGTATATTTCGCTTCGTAAAACATAAATATATCGTCGAGGCAAGGAACAATATCGTAAAAACTATATGGTATTGGAGAATAATGTCAATCATTCTTGGTGGTGGAACCTGAAACTTTGAATGAAAACGATTCTTCTAAGGCAGCCTATTCCATAAAATAATTCTCAGTAGACTAATAACGGCATGTTTTTTTTCTAACGAATATAGTACAGGCTTGAACTAAACTCCAAACACTTCTTTGAAGTATGCTTACTTAAAGCTACTGAGCTGTTACGAATGGATCCGACGATCTGTGGAATTGTATAACGTTTGAACTAGAATATATGTTGGACATACCTCGCTTTATTTTTTGCCCACTTGTTCCAGCATTCTGGTAGCTTATAAACAGCCACACACCTACCATTCGCGTTTCCATATGTAATTTCTCCATTTATAGCTTCTCGAAATGAATCGATAGTGGGCTATGCTTACTCACTTATTGCCTTTTTAGGGCATGGAATGCCCCGTGATTATGCGGACTTGAATCGGGAGAACAAGCAGGCAGAAGTCAACGTAACAACTCAAAGGAAGTAACTAAGGCAGAACGGTGAAATCATCGTTCGTCATCTGACGTTGCCACTAAGTCCTCTTCCATTCAACTATCGTGTTAACAGTCTATAAGTCTTTTGAGGAACCGGACCTGACTTTTGTCCACGGTTATACCATTCTCTTGCCTAGTCCCTCTCTGGCTGACGGTAGAGATGGAATCGTGCCTCATCCACGACGAACCTATGCCTCAGATGGGTTTTTTGTTGATTAAAATTATGCAAATTGTACATGAAATATATCAGACGTATTTTCAACTGGCCAGAAGTCAATTCATGGAAATTCAATTTTTCTCAGTATTTAGGGTATAACTATGTAACACGTCGCATGTCAAATGATAAAGCCCTTAGACTCGAAGCGCTGCTTTCGTGAAACCATCAATCTAGAAGAATACTTAACCCATTCAAAAGGGATGATTCAGTACATGGGAATGAGGTTTCATTAAGATTTAAATGAAACTCCCATTAATGATTTCTATATCAGACGCAACACAAGTGGGCGCTACAGTGGCTACACGCACATTAAAGCGGTATACGCTTTTTGAAGAGGAAGAAGCAGAACTTGAGGGAAACTAGGGCACCCATTTAGGACTAACACCATGGTGAATTCTATTGCTCAAGATAAAAAGAGCTGGATTTTGAACACGACGTATGAGACAAGAGGTATGGAACTCAAAAAGCAAAAGAAGCGAAGAAGATACTGATGGAAAGCAGAATTTTCCCGGGGCACTGTATTGAACAAAAAGAAAGTTGAATAACCATATTTAAAATTAAAAAAAAAAAATAAAAAGACCATTCGCACATTAGGAAATACTTTTAAACCGCTATATCTGGTGCGATTCAAATATCGCAACCCGTGTACTTGATTTGGTGAAGCTATGTTGGAGAGTTGACCAGGCGGCAACAAAAAGCTTTCTTCTGACGTCTTAAATATTTATGTGTTAAATGAGATCGGTTAAAACAAACTTGTGGTGGTTATTCATCTTATGTCCACATTTCGTATATTACCTTACGAAATAGGTATAGCAATATTGTAACCATTACAAGCTGGTCGCTAGATAAAATGTAAGCCACAAGGTATTTTACTTCTACGCGGCTTCATTCTCCGTAAACAGCTGCTTGATCTTAACAGTGATCAACTCAAGATGTCATAATGGCTCAAACTGCGCAGTATTGAAAAACATCTTGGTTCAATTATACTATTGTGAACTAAACAGTAACTCTAATAAAAAAAAGTATATAAAGGAACATATTGAACATGTACCAGAAATACCAAACAATGAGGCTTACTTACCGCTTACTTTTACTTCATAATTATTAGAAGTTCTTAGCTTATAAAATATTGGAAGACGAAATGTGACTCAGAATAGCAAAAATTGTTTCCCAAAACTTATAAATTTCAACTACAACTGCATTTATATAGCTTACGTCCTTTTAACCTACAATATGTTTTACAATTTTTGTTGTCTAGATCTTTTCGGAAGTACCAACAAAAGAACTAATGAACTTGCATACAGACATATGAGTTGCATTTGTTTTGTCCGCAGGCAAATATAAGATTAATTAATCAGGCCTTCCTATATCGGCACAGACGTTATTTACTTAATGACGACAAATGGAATACACAGTGGCCACTGTTAAGTTATATTTAATGGTTTGATTTACAATTGTATTCAAACGAATACTGCATCACTCGGCAGTCTACTTAAGTTGGCGTATGTATCTGCGTGTGTTTGTGTGTGTTTGTATGTAAGTGTGTCTATGAAAATTCAAGAACACACGCGGGTGGGTATCTATATCTGCGCCTATGGTCTGCTGTGCTTTTACTCGCACAATGATCTTCCTTCCAAGAGCACACACATGCGAAGACGAATGAATATTGTTTGACTTGTCGTCATCAATTAGCTAATCGTACAATTAATGTTTGCGTATAATAAATATATACAGCAGTGGTCTTCGCAGGCGAGAGCGGTACGGCCAAATGGCCAGCTATTGATGCATGGGTTAGTGCCACCTCGACCTTTTCTTCTGAGATTCGCCCCCGCCTGACGGGGGCGAAGCTGTAGGTGGCCTCTGAGGTGTCACAGGGGTCCTCTGCGGGGGTATCTGGCCATACCGAGCCTGTTGGGTATACGGCTGTGATAGTGTTTGATCCGACGCTGCGCGGAACTGAGTACGATATTGGGCCTACATAGAAAAAAAAATCAGGCAATTTACATAAGATTTTGAGTGTAGCGATAGACTACTGTGCAGTGATTCCGTGTGTTGCTTATTTCAGTAAAGCAAGTAGAAATATATTTCAGAAGAAACTGTGTTCAAGGAAGACTGGTAAACTTAATTTTTCCACGAGCCACATAGCCGCCTCAGTAGGCTACAGTGCTCCTTAATAAGGTTTAGTGCTGGCTAAATGCTAAAAAGAATTTTGTCAGCTATTTCTAAAGTTACAAGGATTTCTCTTGAGTTCAGTTGTAAAGAATAAGCTTTAAAACACCGTGTGCACATGTTCCACACAGTTGTCCTTAGAGAAGTTAGCTTACCCCGTAAGCAGCTTTCATCACTGAAAACCTATTGACCGGTTTGTCTCCAGATGTATGGGCGGAGAACGTTTCACTTAAACTCATGGTTCCTGCCGACACCTGTGCCCTTGCTTGGTCCATTGCTGATGCATCGCCTCCTGAAGATGCGGTACTTCCCAATCCTGGTCTTTCTCGGCTTTTCATTTCTAACTGCTTCCCACGTCCGCCGCCGTGTTTGAAACGCGACTTCCGGAACCATTGCGACTGCATAGCTAAGTCCATGAGCTGCTGAGGCACGTGTTGATTGGCACCTTCAAGGTTACGAACCAGATGGCCAGCGAATTCTTTATCTTTTTCACAAACTAGTGTATAGGCTGTGCCCTTATTACCGGCACGACCAGTTCGACCCACCCTGGAACAAGATATAAACGGCATAAATAATTGTCCTTATACTGCACCGTTTTTCTTAACAACATCCTCATTTATACACTCATAATCTCAAATATATTAAAGGTTTGTCCAATGCAGTAAAAAGACATATTAACTCGCTCCGGCGGACTATTAAATTCGCTGACCTCCTAAAACTAATTTCCACTAAGTGACAGTTCAAACTAGTCTTACGCTAATTTTACTGGATTTTCTCTGTAGTGGCAAAATTTCGCACTCAGATTGTTCTCTCGTTCGCTATAACGCAACTCTGTTTAAAAACTAAATCTATTCGAAATTAATTCTCTGCAACCGCCGCATATGAGTGAAGAATATCTGCCCTTAATTCGTTTGTAAATAGCTTAATTTTCGCTCAAGCTCCTACCTGTGAGTATGTGTATCAATATCTCTGGCAGTATCAAAGTTAACAACTGTACGAATGTGGCTAATATCTAAACCACGTGCGCAAACGTCGGATGCCACGAGAACCGGGAACTCTTGACGTTTAAACGCCGCAATAATTTTTGTACGTTCTGTCTGATCGATGTCTCCATGCAGCATTCCCACTGAAAGTAAAGTCAATGACAAAAAAGCAAATCGAAGAGTCCTTTAGTAAATATAATATTCAGTTGACGCAAAAACCATGATATGAAAGGATTAGATAAGCTAATTTATAATGATTTTTGAGGTAAACAAAAGGCGCTAAACAATCCTATTTGTGCGATGAGACAGATACGGCAAAGCTAAAGAAGAACTTGAAAGCTGAAATAAAAAACTATACGCATGAACCTTTTAAAAATTCTTTTTCCCCCCGCTCCACAGCAGCGTGTGACTTACACTTATGATCTCGTTGCCGTAATTTTTCGGCTACAATTTCGCAACTCGCCTTCTTCGTTACAAACACAAGTACACTTCCACGACTGCATAATTCAACGATGTGTTCCCCTAGCCACAAGAATTTTTCTTTGTCGATGTCCTTTTGCTCCTTCGATTTCATAAATATCATAACTTGAGTAACGTCCTCAGTTGCCTCGCCGATATCGCCTTGAATGATCTTGACAGGATCAGTGAGTACATCTCTGGCTAGTCGCTCGATTTTCTTCTTGAATGTGGCGCTGAACATTAGGCATTGTCGGTCTGGGCGTACGCAATTGCATATAGAACGAACCTATAATAATCAAATAACTGTATCAGGATAATCATTCCAACTGCTCTGACATGGACACTCGCATTTGCCTGTAAAGACATGCAGATCTATCCCAATATTTGGTTTCTTCGCACTTATAAAGGAAGAGATACGTTTATATTTTATCGTAACTGTTATTTTATGAATAAACTTCGCACTTAGATCTCAAAGTTAATGAAATACGTTGCTAAGTATAGGGCACTGCGTCATTAAATGACGCCACTTTTTGCAGGTGAAGAAAGTTGCAAGAAGCAAAACGACCCGTTATCACATTACAATATTCCAGAACTCGTTTATGAACATACCTGCGGTTCAAACCCCATGTCGAACATTCTATCAGCTTCATCCAGAACAAGAAAGGTCACCCGTTGAAGATTTGTACCTTTTTTCTCAATCATATCAATCATTCGTCCGGGTGTCCCAACGACAATCTCGGCACCCTCTGACAAAGCTTTACTTTGTTCCCATTTCGAAACTCCACCAAAGCAGCACGCCACACTCACGTTGTACACCTGCAATAGGATATATGGCATATTTTCATCAAGATAAAACGAAACATATAGCTTGAATCTAGCTCTATTTGAAGGCACATTCAGTGTTCTTATACGATGCTAGCTACAGCCATTGCCTTCATGACTCGATGATAACATATTATGTATTCAAATACACAATATACTGCTAATGTATATCTTTTTTCTCATACTGTAGTTATTGCCGTTTGCAATTATTCTTTTTTAAATTTATATTTCCAAAAAAAAAGTATGAGTAACCGAAAGGCATTACGACTTCCACTGCACTATACCAAAAAATCGCATACTTACCTTAGCAAACTTTTTGGCTTCCGTGTATATCTGCATAGCGAGTTCTCGTGTAGGTGCCAGTATAAGACCGATCGGACCGTCCCCCTCTTTAAGTTCATCTTGGTCCATCAAGTGCACCAGCAAAGGTAGAAGAAAGGCAAGAGTTTTTCCTGAACCTGTCTTGGCAATCCCTATAAAAATAAAGTTGCGATATTGTTGACTACGTATGTAATCCGATATAGCATCGTCTCGAGTATTATTAAAGAAAACGTTTGGCAATAATGTAATGACAATATGGGTGAGATGAATATAGAAACACTGCCAGTTTGCTTGTAGAATGTGGCACATTCAGCACAACACAGTTGAACTTATTAGACACATTTCGCCTAGCTTAACTCACTATAGAGATACACACCTATAATATCCCTTCCACTTAGCGCCAGTGGGATTGCCTGTGCTTGTATAGGGGTAGGCTGCTCATACTGGGCTTTCCGGATCGCCTTCATTAAACCACCATCGAGGTTCATGTGAGCAAACGCAGCGACGGGATTACAGGGCATCACTCCAAGTACCCTAATGCCCAGCTTTTGGCGAAGCTTGTTTGCTTCGTCTGGACTTAACGACGATATATCAGGATGTTCTGAAATATTGAAACAAATAATATAATAGGGCCCCTTGTTAACTACGTCCAGCAATCTTCCAGAATTAATTTATATGTTGTTACAAGAACACATACAGTTCCACATCAGAAAATAGTAACTGTGTTAGATTTTAAGAAATATTTAAATATTGTGTTGACGACACACTACCAAATGGGATTTATTCAAGCGAGATCTCACCTGTTTAACGATGGCTTACAGAATATTTGTAGCTTACCATATATTATAAATATGCGCAGTGACACATATACATTGCCGTATGGAAATATGTAAAGATAACAAGTATACTTTTTTTTATATAGTATAAAAGAACCTGCAACTAAATAAGCAATAGTTAGTTTAGCTTATTTACGGTCAATCATTAGCTTTGTTTTTCTCGTTAAAAAATACTAAATTCCAAAAGTATTCAAGAGTCTTTCTTATGACTGATAATACCACGTTAACGAAACGAACTAACCGTTATAGAAATTCTTCTCGAACGATTTATACTCCACAATGCTGTGATCGACGCTTGGTAATGGTTTGATGTACTTGCTCTTCTGAGGAACGATGGGATTACCATCCTCGTCGTACTCAATCTCGATCTCATCATCATCAGCTGTCGTTCCTGTCAACTGATTTTCCTTCACGCAGCGGTAGTAACTCTCCTACAAAAAGCGTGTTACATATGAGTAATTTACTCGAAACTTCACCACAAAGAATAGGTACAAATAAATTGCCAAACATTTCAGTCTCTATCAGAAACCGCTAATACTTTAAAACAAACACTATTTAATAACGTTTTTTTATTTGCCTAAATAGAATAATTATTTACCATAATAACGACGATATTAAATGAACCCCTACAATTTTGAGATTTGCGAAAAATGCTTGCACTACGTATGCATAGTTTTTTGCACGATTCTTCTTTAGCACTCTAATGAAGAGCATATTACTTAGTTAATATAGCGAAATAAAGTTAAGCTTTATTTAAAGGCACATGTGGTGTAATTGTATACATAATATGCTCAATGTTATAACATGTCTGAGTACAACAAACCTCATCATCTTCAATTTCAATATCATCGCGAATACCCTTGTTTGCTTTGTCTTTATCGCTCCGATCCCCCTTTTTCTTTGCTTTGCTTTGCCGGTCACTCTCTTTCATTTCTTCGCTAAGTCCCGCCATAAACGCATCCAAAGGATCCTCTTCCGAGTCGGAACCTTCACCATCTCCTGGAGCCTTCGGCTCACTGCTTACTTTCGACGTCGTGGTTGGCTCGTCGTCATCCTCGTTCCAGTAGCTGAAAAGTGGTCACATCGTATAGCGATTCATGCTTTGATCAGTATCACCATTCTTTCCTCATTAAAGAACTGTGCAAGTCCATTACAAACGGTATCAGACCTACTTCTATATACTTTGTAGCTCATGTTGATGACACAAGACAATTACATTAGAGCGCAAAAACGCCAATTTATCCTACATAACCTACATAACCTACATAATAGGAAACACATATTTTAATACATAAAAACCTGCTAGTCGGAGGCATACATAGCGAAGCAACGATATACTTCTACCGTACCGTAACGAAATGTTTGTAAACTAAACGTTTTCATAGATCTTCAAGAAACTTCAAAGCGAAAAGAAATTAGTGGAATAATAACAGTCTAAAATCATTTATGGCGTTTTGACATTTTTCTCTCCCATTCGTATATCATAACTTCTTCTCTCGACTTTTCGATCCTATAAATGACACATACTCCTCTTCAGTACGCGGTTTCTTGATTAGCTGGTCATAAGTGGGCATCAGTGCAGCGGCGGTGGTGATTTGCGTTTGTCTGGCGTAGCCTCTATTTGATGCCTGAGCTGCTGGGGGTGCCACAGCTCTGAAGTCTCTCGACCCTCCACCGCTATTTCCTCGGGAAGAGGTTCCATATGATGAATACTCACCCCCATCGTATCTGCTATTGTATTTTCCACCGCCTCCACTTCGCTGGGACATTGCTAGCTGAAACAGCGCATGATGGATCGTACATAAACGCACAGGAAACATTCAGAGAACACTGCTTCGGATCGGGTCACAGATTTGCTTGCGAACGATTAATTGCACCTGTAGCAATCTCATCCGCGCTTTGTGTAGATCAAGCAGCTTACTTCGCTTGTAAGCTTGAAAGCCGTTTTATAAAGAGCGATGATAGAGCATATTGAAGTTAACCCATGATACGAAACGTAAAACGGAATAACTGGTACATTTAATTTACGTTTCCTTCTAACGATGTGGCTATCGTAGACCCTTCTTTTTTCCATTAAATCAATGCACTAACAAACAGCGTGTTTTTGAAAATAGAGACAGTTTCCACACTGATCTGGTTAGTCAGTTAAAGTAATTATTTCTACCTTGTGAGCTAGATCATTGATATTCGAAAGAGACTGTAATACCAGTAAGTATATTATACACTGTAATATCGTAACAAAAATATTTTGAATGAGTTGTAAATGTCAGTCTATTTCATTGCGCATACAAACTATAAGGAACACTATTATCAGTTTATATCTGCCTTGAAAACAAAAAATTTCTTTTTTGTGAACATATCTAAAAATTTATCTTTATTAATCAATAGAATCCGAAAACAAGCAAGGGATTAAATTTTATTTATGACCATTACAAAAACTCTAGTTGTAGTTAACGTGTTTTAGCACATACCGAAGTCAAAAATAATAGGCGGCTTGATAACTAGCATATCAAGTATTCTTCGTAACGGACTGAATCGAGTATATTGAAATTTTGTTTATACAATCTTATCACATTTGAAACACTATTTTCTCATGCTCTGTTGATTTTCGAGGAGTGATCACTTGATTCAGAGCATGCTTCTGAACTATAAAATAATAGGAGATCAGTTAGGAGACCGAACTGTCTAACTCCTCATGTACACATCATTATAAACGCGTACCAGTCCTACAACCTCTCACTGCATTATTAACTCGAATTTCGATACATACCGGTGACCCGTGTGAAATATGTGAGACAATGGGAAATGTCACTATAGCACAATCTTTCCAAAGAAAGCCGTTCACAGACAAATGTGACTGGAGGCCGCCATTTGTATGGTTCTTTTGTTTATGTTTTGTTTTGGGCCCCCTGTCAGCGAACGCCGAAACGATGGCGAACACACGGGTTAGGTAACGATACCTGGATACGCTCACCGGATCAGTCCATTCTGGGTTTTTTGGGGTTTCCCGGTCTGTTACAGTCCTGTAACAACAGCAATTGCAGTTTATTCACCCGATCGATCCGAGGAAAATGTCGGGGGTGGCTGGCAGCGTGCTTAAGGTTTGTATCGATTAGAAATGCAGAAATACACTTTAGATCAGAGGTAAGGCAAGGGCCAGCGCCAGTGGACGGTAACCGTCGAACAGCTGATTTGCAAAAACTGGCTCATAGTGAACGTTCGAATCGTGACTGAAGGTCGCCGTGTCCGCAAAACACGTATATAGCCTGGTTGCATACTAAAATCCCGCTCCTAGAGTTTTCTACCCTAGTGTAGCGTCTATAGGGAACTTGTATCTATTTAGCAAACACTGGAGTCGATCAATCTAGTTTATGAGAAATAGTATTTTCCTGGCACGTTTCGTAGTCTGTCAAGCGTTAGTGATGAGAGACGTACTCTAGAGCCTGTGTAGTGGCAGATGATCTAATTTGTGTAATACTAGTAAGCATTTTCTCGCGCTAGCCATATTTCTATAATTTTTGTATTATTCAATGTCAATTATCGTTTTTTTGTTTAATGAAATAACTGAAACGATTGTCGCCACAGATATCTTGTGTTACCATTTCTTGCCAACAATGCCATTGGCTTCATCTATATACATTTAATGTTTTTGTACGGAGCCTCTCGGCCCACCAGCCGACGAATATTATTAACTTATCGTAATAGCTGCTATTATAATAATGAACCCACAACTTTCTTCTAATAGATGCGGTAGTTAGTTTGTGTCCCATCATATAATCGTTATGTGGCCCTTAGTTAAACTAAGTGTTTGTTTGTGTTGCAGGCCCTTAAGCCTCACGTTCCATTGATTAAGTTTAGAAAAGGGGGCCGTCCTCTTGCTGGTAAGTGTTACCTCTTGAGGCAATTCAAACATGCTTAGTATCGTGTAGATAGTTGGCCTAAAATCAAATGTTGAGAAGAGCAAACGCGTTCATGAATATTGGCTGTGATCTTTCATTATACCAGAACTTATTATATACAAGTTTCATTACGAGTTCATTAAGCATTTGTTTATTTATCACATATCTTTTCGTTAATTTTACATTTAAGCCTTTGTTGCAGTACTCTTGAAATTGCTTTCATGAATTGCAAACACTTTTGGCCACCATTTATCGGCTCGTTATTTGTATGACTTTATTTTGTTCCTCGGTTTATGTTGATTCCCCGTGTATGTTGTGCACGAATTTTTATATGGCGGTTTGCTTATCATTAGGAGGAGTCTTATCGACGCCAGGAATGTCAGCCCCTGTAGGCTCGTCGCCCCGTGGCACCGGTATCGAAGAAGATGTCATGCCAAAGAAATACGCTCGGCTCCAGATTAACGAGCATGAAGCCGAACTCATTATGGTAAGTGGGCCAATTTTCAGCTTCTTTGTACCCATGTATGCCTAATTCGAGCCCTAACGCACAATAAAGCTATATCTAAGCTTTAGGTAACCTCAAATGCTATTTGATTGATATCTACCCTCTAGAGCCAATTTTGCCTGTTGGAATGTAATAAGCTAACATTTTTTTTTAGCTAGCGAATGAAAGAAGTTTACTGAATGGTTCTGTAACATACTAAGCTTAGCTGACAAAAGCCATTTTTCATTTCAGAGCGGCGGTGCTTATTAAAATGGATCTGACGTGTAGACAAAATATTAACTCTTTGCGAATCTTTTTAAAGCTACATTACGTAAATAAATAGATTAACTAAATACACAATTTAAATTTTTATTTGTAGTACATGAGTAACTCACTTAAATAAAATGGCATGTGCACCTTAAATATTACTGTTTGCGGTTGCGCTACTTTACTGCGGGACTACAGAACTTAGTATAGATCAAGAGATCTAGATTTGTGGTAGAAAGAGACGTCGCCACAAAAAGAGATTATTTGGTTAATTTAACCAATACAAAAAGAAACCTTAATATTTAACACATATATATGTATTAATGTTAGATATCGGGTCATATATATATATATATATATATATATATATATATATATATATATATAATCCGATATCTAATTTCTTTATAGAATCCGAAACTTTTAGCAGCATTGTACCGTAATGGACAATCTTGCCGGTGACATGCTGGCACACATATTCTCTAGGGCTATTGTCCTTACGTCGATTTGTAACAAATGCGATTCCTCTCATCTTAGTACAGGTTCTGCACCGGCGATGAACTACATAACTTCGACTGATGTTTTTATTTTCCCGTTCTTACTGTGAACAAAGTGTACTCACCCTGTGATCTTGATTATGCCTAATCTTAAGATATTCTTATGAATTGGGCATGTACTAATATACATTTTTAATCTTCTATGTAGTTTTAAGTATTTTCATTAATCCAGGTCTCCAAAATCATCTCGGTCTGTTTCCTTTTTGTGTGAACTGGTAAAACTTCATACAAAAGTCTGCCTTTCTTTAAATACTTTTCCGAAGAGGTTGAACATTTTTGTGACTATTTTTACCTGCAGGTTAATAATGCAATTTGAGTAAAAGCGAAGTTTCTTGCAAATATCACACCGATAATTACTGACAATTTCTGAAGCGCCCTAGTCTAAAGGATGTTTGGTTTTTTTAATATAGCACTTAACGCAAAAGGTTTCTGGAAAAATTAATTTGGAAGATGTTCATAATTTAGCGAAAGATCGACGTAAGGAGAACCGCTTGCACACGATAGTAGTAGAGGTTAAAGAGCCAGCAGTAAATAGTTCTGATGTACCTCTAATGTAAAAGACGGATTTCATGGGTACGAGTCGATATTCAGCCAGACCAAAAAAAACGAGCTTTATTTATCTTAAATGTATTGCTTTTCTATGGGAAATAAGATTTTTTGCTACTTGCTTGTATATTGAATTGATAGATCCGTTAAAGGTTTTACATCTATTTCTCGAGCCCCAGCATAGCTCTAGCCGTATCATAAAAATCAATAAAAAAAAAAAGGTTGATAATAGAATTTTATGTTGTCAGTAAAAAGCGAAGTGACAAAACTGCGCAGTGACCTAGGCTCTTGTTTTAATTAATTTAAACCCATATTCCAGTTCACCACTAACAAATTTCTAAAACTACTTTACATAAATAAGCAATATATCACCTTGTATGCCCCTGCGCAAGAAAAATCTTTTAAATTTAATCAATTAGAATTTAATAATATACTTCAACACGTTCAGGTAGGTCAGGTTTGCGGGTCATTTTGGGTTGCGTGATGCAAAAATATATGTTATTTAACAATGTGTTTTCTTAGTTTGATAAGTAAAGACGGGGTTTGATTTATTGCTGTCATGATTTATTGTTGTATTGAGGTGTTATGAATGTTATTAATTAAATAAAGGATAGAAAAAAGAAAGACGTAATTCCCACTTATCGCCGAAATAATCGATGCCAAAGACTGGCTTGTTTTCAGAGTTTTATTAAGTCAGTTATCCTGTATTAATGGTAACAAATAGCATAACTATTGTTTAAAAACTAGACCTTGACATTATACGCACAGTCTCTCAACGAAGCCAACTTCTCTGGAGATCATTTTTTCTTTATTGGAACCATCACCTATAACAGCTCCAAACCTTTATTATGATTGAAAGAATAGAGTTCAGCAGAGTTTTGCATTTAAGGATCGTTTAACTATCCGCTTTGAAAAATTGTTGAGGAAGGAAGTAACTTTTTTGACTTTTGACTAACAATATTTTTATTATGTGTAAGACTTCTGACGTCGATTTTGAATGGTATATTGATGACAGTATTGCTTGTTGAACTAAGGGCAGTGGCTGGAAGTAAAATGAGTTGGCACCAAATTTCGTATAGAGTCTTCAATCATGTTTCACTTGCATTTGTCATTTCAAGTAAGATCTGATTTGGTCAGTGATATATTTTCCGTATGTCATTCTATCTCGTGTTCATAGAATGCTTTCGAAATCAGAGATCAAACTTATGAGAGAAAAATGGTTCGGTGCTCGCTGGCGCTGTCATGACAGTAACTAAGCAGCGCTTCCCACAAGGTAAAAAAGAACGTAGTAATTACCCTGTCATTTCCTACGGCTTGAATGTGTTGCAGTAAGTAGGTCGACTAGAAAATAACAAAAGGACACGGTTGACAGCAAATTTAGAAAAAAAAAACTGGCTACAAAGTCACGTCCCAACCTGTGGCTAGGTTTGTCGCGTGCTTATGTAATTAAGTACGCGCATATGCAGTAATATAAAACTTCTTGAGCTGTAGATTAAAGAGCAATTATTCATTTGCTCTGATAATAGCGAAAATGCGCTTCAAATGTGATTCTCGGCATCGTTACCGAGTCGACTTAAATCTTAAAACGGCGTAAATCCACTTTGGCTTAGATCAGGGATTTTTTTTTATAGGAACAACGAATATATGGTAATAGGTTTTTTTCTGTTTTTTATTGGTTGTTAAAACTACCAATGAACTAAACGATATCTTAGGCTGAGTTTTGTTTGAAGTTTTTGTGGTAGCATTAGATACTTACATGTATATAGGTAATTGAAAATCTGCAAAAATGTTTTAACACCTGTTTAACGAAAATGCCTTATGTGTCTGTGGTTTTTTATATTTTTACAAAATGAGTGAATTTAACAGCAAGTACATATGCAATTGATTGTTTGATGACGTTGCCTGCATTGGGCGGTGTGCGCACATGATGTGGGCCCACTTGATCCTACAGCGTTTTGCTTTGTATTACGCAAGCTTGGTCTTGCTTGTACTTCGTCGAATCTCTTCGATGTCCTAGCATCAGGTACAGACTAAAAATGAACACCAGCTGTCATCGTATCCGGTCGTCTAACCGACAATTAAATTAAAAGCGATTTTTTCGACGTGCCTTGAGATTTACTAGGTTTGTATACGGTTCGTTGTTATCGTTGATGTTGACCAATGTCGAAACGGTAGCCAGACTTGCACTGCAACGTGCAGATCACTCGAGGTAACCTATATTTGAGGGAAGTAATAACGACGACGGAGACGGCTGGTTCAGCAGATAAATGTTTATAGTTGCATACTGTTGCTGTTGCGCCTGATCCAACATGTTGTTAAGCAACGAGAAGAGCACGTACAGAAGTGGCTGCTTGAGCTCGAACGAACGGATTGTGCCCCTCCCCTTATTTCATGAGCATAGTAAGTATGTGAATTATTTTAAATTACTAATAAATCTCTATGAGGTAATAAAATTAATATTTACTCCCATACTAAACATAATTGACGAACATTAAGGCCAGAAGAGTTTAAAGCCTATTTTGAGTGTAGGCTCAGCTGTAAGACGCAAAACTCTTCAAATACAAACAGAATTAATTAATCGCCTGAGTGGAAACTTAAGGGATGTGGTTCTTATAAGTGTATGCAAATAAAAATAGCTGTATCAGCGCTGCAAGCCATCATTTGAGGGCTATATAATTCCAAAGTGAAGTAATTTGGTGCTTTTACTTGTTCTGTTGCGACGCGTCTGGTACTAGCCACAGCCGTTGGAGTTCTATTCCTTTTCAAGGGCTCTATATCGAATCGATCATAGATTTTTGTTTTGTGCGCTTTTTTGTGGCTGGTGAAGATTCATCTCATTTTACCTATTATAGTGGATTGGCTCAGCAACCTGTAGAATTGAGTTCTGATCGACATCTGATGAATGCTACGTTTTAGGCAAGACCAGCCGTACATTCAACATGGTGTTAGATGTTTCAGTATCAGATTCTTATGGAAATTCAGATTACGACGAGCTAGAGGCAACATTGCGATTGAGTGCATCGCTTGTTCGAGAGCTGGTTGTTGGCAGAAGAGTTCCTGATCCTCGGAAGAACTATAATCGGAAGTTCTCTGAGATTGTTGCTGTGTTCAATAGCCTTACGAGTACAGGAGCTTCTGCCAAAGCGGCGAACAACGCTTGTGCAAATTGTGGAACCCGACACGCTGATGAAGTTTGCACTTCAGATGGAAATGCGCCCGTTGCGGAAGGCATTCGGATAGTTTCTGCTTTGAAGTCTTTGTTTAGGAGGCGCAGGTTATGCGTTGACTTCGCTACAAAATGAGCAAAGTACTAGAAAAAAAGAAGTGGGTGGGCTTAAGTTCTAGGTAGGTTCAAAGTAGGGAACTTTGTTAGGCCATTTGTAGAAAATAACTGCCTGTTTTGCAGAGTTTCACCTCTACACGGATGAGTAATACGATAACAAATAATTAAATTACCTGGTGATGACAGCAGATCAGAATCCGTTAATAAGCTATATATCCATGGTTTGTTTTAGGTATGTTTTATTTCTAAGGGCAACCTTACACGCCTAATTTTTGTGCAGATTGTCAGGACGATATTAACGTAATATGAATAAATATTAATTCAAATAGTGTAAACTCACTACATATTGCATGCAAATTTGGAATAGAAATAATCTTATGTCGTGGACTCATTTAACAACAATTTGTTTTTATTATTTATGAGTTTACTTTTATTTTACAAGACTTCTTTTTATCTACTTTTGTGTGTATCTCAATTAGAGGTCTCTGCGGATAGAAAAATTTGCCGACACAAAAGGTTGAAATCGTTCATGTTCAAAAAAAGCATTTTTCCCATGCCATTGTTGTCGTTACGATTCTATCGAGTAGCCATCATGTGACACTCAGGCAAATTAAACTTGATTTCAACTAAAACAAGTTTACACATATGGTATTCTAGATAGGTAATAATATGACAAGCGTCACCGTTTGCAGCATTCAAGTTAAGACAGAGAATGTTGAGACAAGAGGCAATTATTCTACGCTTGTAAAGCATTGTCGTTTCGAGTTTAGTCTGCGCTGTTCAGACTTTTGTTTTTTTAGTCTTCGTGACGCGCCTTGTCGCTGTTTCGGTGAAAATCCGCTGCTGACAGCCTGATAGTTAAGTTAGAGAAAATTAATAGGGCAGAGTCCAGACAAGTAAACGTTATGCTCAAACGTTCGATTATCACTGAATTGTAACGTATGTAACTATTTGCAGTTAGCCACAATCCATCCAATGTAAGAATGGGAAGCTTTTATCTTTAACAAAATTTCTTAGTGACTAGCGTGAAAAGAGATGTCGATAAGGAGACTTGACACTTATTCATTCTTATAATTAATACTATAGTTCAACTACAAAATTACCGGTTGTTCTCGCATACATAACGATGTTAGCAATAGAAATATGTTAGAAGACTCAGTTACGAAGATTACAAACGATACCCCTAGGTTCAAGACATACGCAATCATTATCAGAAAACCGTTTTTCAAATCGTCAAAACCTAGTAGAGCGTACAAAAATAATTATCCACTCTAGGACAAATGATATACATTCATATAGCTCAGTTTGTCATTTCGGGATAACCATAACGTTTCCAGGAAGCAACAAGTTAATTTGTCCTGAAAATGGGTGAGTTTTAGCACCGTTATTTCCGTAGAACACGTTTGTTTATTCGGTTTAATCTCGTCAGTGAACCGAGCGCAATATTCTAACCGACCAGTCAAAGATGCTAGTAGACCTTCCGTTACCGTTACCGTGTGGGAAACTTAGACATATTTCTCGTAAGTATGGCTGGATTTAATTGGATATTTTGGACATCAAACGCTAGATGACCAGCATTTATATGAATCTATGTTTATACACAATAGACAAACTCCAAAACGGCTTCATTCTCATGCAAGCCCTACGAATGCGTTGCTTTTAAATAGCTATTGCACGTTAGAGTAATACACCAAAACAACGTATCCTCTACTTCTACAATAAACTCCTATATTACTCGCACATATACCCATTTAGATTTAAATTTTAGCACACGCTTTGTCGTTAGATTTGATAATGCAGAGCAGGTTGGCTCATCATTAGTTACGTAGACATCCGTCATATAACAATACCAACTTATCCACCACAGTAATAAGCGTCTTTGAATGACATTAGCATAATGTGACAAAATGCAGAAAGTTAACTTTAATCAATCTACCTTCAAGCCCAGGGCCTATTATAAAATGGCGGTGAAACAGAAGGTACCATTCCGGCTAACGTAGGTTTTTTTACATTTTAGGTTATCTTCACTTATCAATAACTTATCGTTTCGAATTTAGCATCAGTAAATGGTTCAGTTGTACTAGGCTTAGCGGACAAATCGATCTTCGTCCTTCACTTGAGGTCATTGACTACGGACTGACTATGATCCGTCCTATTGCTATCATAGTTACCCTAACCTTCAACACTCTCGCAAAACTTCATCTTAAAGTGCAGTGTACCTATCATATGATGCTATCGTTATAATCTATACGCAAAGCGATGCCAAGTTATGTCTTGGGCGGCTTGTTCGAGAAACCTTCATAGTGGCGACTCGACATGTCGTTTCATCATTAGGAAGGCCCAAGCCCTTTGCAGAGATACGACAATTCAGTTTAGGACAGAGGAACACGTGCTATCCGGTCATTTTCTTGATAACATCGATCAATCACAACTACGGTGTGCTAGACATTGGCGGCTGACGGATATAAGACGATAAAAGCGCGGCAGTAAATTATAACAGCGGTATCAAAGTATTTATATTTTTACACGCATAGCCAAAAACAGGTATGATTATTGTAAGCTATTGAATTATAGCTATAATATAGCGCATAAAAGGCGTTCTCCAAAGTCGCCTTAGGTTAACACTTCTGTAAAAAGTAGGACTCTGTCTGGCTAAAATGCATACATACGATGTTAGTTAAAAATTTCAGGCCAATTTTTGTCGAGAGGATATAGAACATTAGTAAGCGAAGCGGCCATGTGGTGACGACATTAATGTTACCTTTAAAACTTATGAAAAAAATTAGTACGTTAGATATCGCTTTGCAAAATTGTGAGTGTCTGTTGATTAAAAGTAACTAAATTAATTGTAATTCGTCTATTACTAATGAGGTTATCCGCTGATATCGCAACAAGTACTCAGAGTAACGACCGTTAGTCACTATAAACTCGTGATATTGACGAAGAATCTGTGTGATACACGGTATCGAAGATATTGGCTACTTTTAGGTGATTGAAGCCCCTTAGTAGAACGAATTGTAACTAGTAAAAATTAAGAAACAACCGAAAGGAGTGGCGCTATTGCGGCCTTTTATTTGCCCTTGGACAAAACTTGGCAAGCGGAGCTACTGCAGAACACAAGCAACGACTCCCATCCCTGCCACTGAGTTAATTTAATTAGTGATCCCCAACTCCCCATCTCATACAGGCACATAGTACAACGCTGAAATGTACCAGGCAAGTCGCAAGCCTATGATCTGATTATCGAGCACTCGTATTGGCATCAACAGCTATTCTGGCTGACACTCCTTGAATTCTGCCGAAATACTCAACCATATCAGAAAAGTGCCACGCACTCTATTAAAAAATTGTCAGCATTTCCTTATACCGGTTGACACCTGAGTGCCACCAAACGAAAAAGCCATCTTAACTTTATGCAGATATAGGCCACCGGCTGTAATGTATTTTTTAACATTTTTTTTTTAAAATGTCGAATCAAGCATTATTAGAGAAAATTCTGCGTTTCATTTATTAGTACCATGTGTTATCAAGTAAGTGACTTACAATGTTCATAAGGACATAAGACTTTTTTCTTCATTCATACCTTTTTCTAAATTTGAAGGCAATACCTTTATCGGAATCACATATTCCCCCAAAAGGTAGTTGCCAAGTTACTTTTTCTCACAGATTTCGATTTAGGCTATGTAAAGTCGAAATATCGGCAACTCCATTGTCCTGTCTAGAAAGAGCCTTAGTCATTGACTTCGACTTCTTCTTCCATGACTGACTTGTGAGTTTTGAAATATCCTTCATAGAGGTTCATGTGCATATTAAGCGCCTTAATGTATACGTAATGAATAAAAGTGTATCTAAGCAGAGTCTTCGGCATGCTAAAGTATGCTAGAAAGTAAATCATTGGCGGAATTGTTTCTAGGTGTGAGTAATTTAGCATTCGAAGACGTTTTCGGGCAAACGGGCAGTGTTTGATTAAGCCGGTCCACCATCTTCAAGTACGCGAAAAATTTAGCTGAAGGTTAAATATCGGGATGCCTGTTTGGCATTCCGAATTTTAGTACATGGTAGCAGCTATCCATCTGGTCAGCATACTATCTATTATGTATACTCCGATCAAATTGACTTTGCAATCCAGTCGTACTAACTACTTCGAAATAGATGTCCAAGCTCAATATATTAGCAAGAGCTTCAGCTACGCAACTCACACCAAGAAAGATATTGGCAAAAAAAAAACGTCTGAACAAGTATTTGATACGCTTTTAAGCTAAGCCCGGCATTTATCATTTGTCGTCATAACAGTCATTTTTTTCGCGAATTTCAATTGCGTAGTTTCTGAGCACATTGTTAATCTCTCTATCCCATAATAACAGGTTATTTGTTATTGAGGTTCCTGCATTTGTGCTATGTGGGAGCCGCCCGTGATTGCTTTCTCTTGAACACTTCCGTCAACTTCCTCATTCGTCGCTCTACGCTATGAGTAGTGTTTTTATAGACACGTGCAATATATGCGTCCATGAGCCTCAAAATGGCAGAGAAATTCGGTTCCTTTGAACTATGAGACACGGGGATGTCGTTGGCCTATCTTCCAGATCTCGTGGAAAATCGACTGCACCCAGCATTCGAATGTTCCCATTGTTTGTACTGTGCTGAGTTGCATCGGTGCAAACAATGGGAACATCTGTGCATCATTACGACGTGTCATCCAATGTGACGAAGCGCCGTTATTGTCGTTGACCAAGTGTAAGTGTGCACAAGAGATACGATTGTCAGCTCGGCAGATACATTTTCGTTGATAAATCGTCAGCGTACTGAGAAAAAGGCCACCAAGCGGAAACGCAGACGGGTTTGTTACTAGAGCTGTACTTGTAATCGTTATTAAACCGCTATGCACAACGTTTGGCCTAAATTTAGCAGATGTGCCTATTTTCTTCTTTGCAATTAAAACCATCGCCATTAACTATTACAGGTAAATAACGTAGCGTCACGCAAAGGACTGTCAAACGTTGCAACATTCGATACAGACGATGAGTTTTTTTGTAAACCAGGCATAAGTGAACCTAAAGTTCCTGCCTTAATCTATTGGGGAAAGCCATGACCTAGCCTTTAGACATTGACACTTTTTTGATAAGGGTTAGAGAGAATCACATGAAGGCCAGGTGCTCTGAACCGATCAACAAAGAGAAAATCAGGTAAAGGTCCTGCTGCTTGCATTACTGGATATTCATGAACGATTTTTTGCACCCCCCTTCCATATCTGTGATGTTTCGTAACAACAAATAAACCTATATAGTTAAATTGCTCCCCACCGTGCTTATTAGGTTATTTTATAGGTTATTTATAGCTGAATTAAATACAATGATATTTTCGATGGAAGTCTTTTTAGCTATTTGGGTAGCCCGGATATTTCACATGCTGACGACAAGGACAGACGAGTCGTGTACCACAACTGGAAGTTAAAACAAAAGCAGTTTCCATGGTGACGGGGTGAGTTAGACCGGCATCCTCTGAGGATCATAAAATGTACCACGAAAGTACCACAACATGTGGATTTTATTATGCACTCGAAAACACAGTTCCACTGTTCATTCACTGGCCGAGGCATTCTTAAATACGAGCTACTAATAGCCAGAGTTTTGTCGTCTACCTACGGCTTAGCACATCAATGTCGTATGTTTATCAGTGCCCACTCGCTTAATGGCGCCGATTTGTTCAGTCGGTTAATCATTCAGCATACATACGATAGCCCTATGCTTTTCGCAAGTAAAACATCCTATTTGCTGCGAAATATAATCCAATTATAATTATATTTTAAGTAGTATGTAAACATTGATTTCAGAAGTACGAATTGAACACGTAGCGAAAAAAACGTATTTATTCGTTCTCCTCCTCTTATTGAGCTTAACAGTTTCGAGGTGACTAACGCATACACTCTTCGTCCTTGCAAGTAAGTCGTAAGGCAAAGCTTGAGCGAAGTTAGTTTTGCTGCTTTGTCAAACATTCCGTCGAATTGTTATTGGGACCCTAGCAGTAGCATTTCGACATCTATTATCGGTAGTCTCTCGTGTTTTTTTATAGAACGATTGCCTCCACTCGCTGCTGCAAATGTTCGCATCACCGCTGCGGAGTGACCCATATAACCGCGATTGTGTGTTTGGACGTAACGAAACCCCGCCTAGTTATCGTTTGTTAAGCGTGTGTTCGTGAAATACGAGACCCAGCGACTCCGAAATAGGTCTTTATCGAATTCGCCGTCGAACCCGTTGAGAATAAGACCGGCAAAAGCAAAAGTAACGCCGTTGACCGCCACCCCTCCATTATGGGTCCAGCGCCCTTTCCGTAAGCAGTGGCGGCAGGGGCAAATACCAAAGGCAGGTCGACTCGCACGCCAACTCCCTCTTTTGTGTTTTAGAATCTACGTTTGTGCAGTTAGTACTCATGTGCGTACCTATGCCTCTGTGTGTTACCGCAATAGAATAGAACTAGCCTATAAAACAACAGCCACTTTAGACAACCGATCAAAAAGGACGATAGCGTGGCGTTCATAACGCGATAACCTTCAGATATCACCAGCAGAACGTAGTCAGTCACCAGCTGAGTGTGTGAGTGTACGTGTCGAGCCGCTGCAGGCGGGCGTTGCTGGCAGCATTGCCGGAGCCGATGATAATACCGACGCTTCGTGATATTACATAGGACTGCTTACCATTGCGACTGCTGCTAATGCTGTTACTGGAGCTCTGCTCAACAAGTGTTAAGACAAACGATGTTGACAACGAATGGAAGCGTTGGACTCGTTGCGGTCAAGAGATCGCGGCGACTAAACCCGAAACGAGATGTCCAGCGGCGGCAATTGGGTCGCTGGCCGAGCAATATACAATTGCAGTAAAATACTCTTTGTGAGGAAAAGAGAGCCTAAATCAAAGTCACGTTGAGCACGAACATCTGCTGGAAAATCTAGCAAGAACGCGCCTCACCATGGCGACAGGAAGGCTGTGGCAAACAGAGCGATGTTTGTCGTTACGACAGCAGCTGCCGCCTCTGCTGTTGTCGTTAAGCTTGCTGTCAATGAAACATGGAACACTCCAGGAGAATATATGAGGGGACATGTGTTACTGAGTGGAGAGGTCTCTGAGAAGAACTTACCGCATAATCATGTCGATGTGTAGTGGTACGCAATATTAATGATGCTAGCAGATGGTTGAGCAGAAGATCTCTTTGATGATTACGACATCTAGGATGGAACCTGGTGGTTATTCGTTGAGACATTAGATCTTATAAAGGTAAAATAATAATAAAGAGAGGAGTGTAATTTGTGCGTATCTGGTCAGAATTGCGAAATTATTATTAATTCATTTCATTTGTACGTAAATGGTTTCCAAACATGCTTTGGTATCGTTTGTCTTGAAAATGATACGCGATTTGAGATTTCTGTGTACAGCGTATCTGATATTTATGTTATAATATGAAGAGCGGAGTTGTTTGTAACTGTAATTCAAAACGTCATAATTAGCACAAAATTACAATTTTCTGAAAATTCGAAAAGTAGAACAACTGACGAAATAAACCCTTCAAATGACATAAAACAGATCGTTAACGAATAACACGGATGTGCGTTACATTTAGCATGCCTGCTTAATATCACTGAAAATTTTCGGGCATAGGAGGAAGATCACTTGGGAATTTTCCCCATCTGTTCAAACCCAGTGCACAGAAAATTGGGATCCTAACAATAGCAATATTTGCAATGTGTAAAAATACCTAATACCGAAATAACACTCTGCCCGAAATAACACTCTGCCAGTGTATTTGCTTGCCGAAACGAGGTGAAATCGAACTAACAATATAGCTAAGAGCTTCTCTTGAATGTTAAAGTAGCCTGTTGCGCTACGCCGAGACATGAATTGTTACAGTTTTACTAAATAGAAGAGAAACGAATAAGCCAAGGTATTTCCGGCCATATAAGCAACTATTAAATAAGTATATCGGTCATAGCGCACGGACAGATAGAAGACTTACGGGTGTGAGGCGCCCAGTGCTTGGTATCAAGGTTAGTTGCTCTACCAGGCATATATACTCCTTCCGAATATTTCTTATGCCTCCGCCGTTCTAGCATACATTGCACTAAGTGCACAACGGAAAATGAAGATACGAGGTATTTTGCTCGATTTTGCACGTATTATATTCTACCATTGACAAAGTGTGACCAATGTCAATGCTATATATATGCACATTGATTGTCGAATCACAATCTTTCAACACAAAGATTCATGTTGTAATCCACTGAGTCAAAAACAAAAAAACTAGTTTCTGGGTAAAAATGGGCCAAATATTTTCAAAAATGCTCACTGTAGAGTAAGTATATGCGTCAAAGCTTGTTTGCCGATTCATTAAAGCAAACGTTGTGGACTGAATAAAAGCCTAGATTAGAACGTATTGTGTGCAAAGTGCAGTACATCGTGCTTCGACAAGTCTTATAATGACAACGATTTGATTCGCTGGTTTGACCGAATCTTAGCCCTTAAGGCAATCTGTCCAAGCCAATTTTGTACCTTTTCCCGAACGTGGCTTGGTCCTTCGTGCAACCTGCTTACGGTATTTTTTTTCGGATAACAATGGAACACCATTTTAGCTGGCTCATTCCAGTCAACAGTTCCATCGAGCTCGAAATTGATGAAGGCACAAAAGTAAGCCTAACTTTTGGATTTTCAGAAGTAAAATGTCGTGCGGATCGTGTAGTTTTTTTTTTTGATTCGTTTAGAAGAACAGCAGAGCCTATCTGTAATCTGTAGGTTGAAATTCTGTGTTTTTTAGTATTACTTCTCTCGACGTTAGATTGTGATTTCGATCTGTGATATTTTATCATACATCTATGCCATTTTATGACTTATTCTGCGCTATCTTATGTGAAAGCTTACAAAGGAGCGGTATATTTCTAGCTAGCTATTACCCAATATGAAGATTTTCGTTTAGAATAAAAGTATGGCGTAATGCTTTAGCCGTGACTCTGTAATCGGTACTTATCGTTTCCGTAGAATTTCGACCCCCACTCCTCGAGCGTGCTCGCGCTAATTTTTTGCTCTCCTAGTGTGTTTCAAGCAATACATGCACGCTATGTATGATATTAATTTATTAAATCGACAATATTTTTTTTTCTTAGGAAACTAGGACTGATTTATTAAGTGTATACAAAGAAAATTTAATTTTTATTAACATGTCAAAAAAAGGATATAGAATACAGGCGGTTTACCACCCAGCTGCCAGCTAGACCTACTATGTATCCGAGATTTTGTCCAGCAAGGTTCTGGGTTCTGGGATGAACGGCTATGCGTGGTTCTCCTTTGGATATTTCTTTTAGTGCCCGTTTCCGTTTAGAGCCACCTTAGAGAGTCCTTGCCCTGAATTTGGGCCCGCTTATTTAATAGCTCTTAAGATACCTTAGAATATGCTTTTTTTTCGTACCATTTGTCGTAGCTTTCTGACGTCCCCTGAGGTAAGTCCATTCAGCAATTAGGGTTTTTCCCTTTGACATGAGCCAGGCATGTCACAGCAGCGAAAAGTCTCACCCACACTTCACGATGATAATGAAATTTAATGCATGCACCTCATAGCTTTTATTTTCCCTTATGGATTCCACACAATCGAAGTTGTTTTTTTGCTTCTGCCAAATTCATTCCGCTCCGAATTAGTGTTTTCGCATCCGAAGCGACCATTTTTCAACGACCTGTGAACCACCCGGTACGATCGGCACCGCCATTTTTCGTGGAACTGATTTCAGCTTCGGTGTACAAAACTCACATGCAAACAATGTCTTGTAGAAGTAGAAATGACTCTCCATTCGTTGTGCTTGTATTTTGCTTTCCCTTCACCTAGGCAACTAGTTGTTCGCAGGTTTTTCTGTGTGATTTTCATGTTGGAGATGTATGGTCTGTCGAATAGTGATTAGTTTGAAGGAAAGTATTTATTGTCTGTCGTACTTCCTGGTCGACACAATGTCGGAGACGGCAGCTTCGACAAGCAGGCGGTTTCCGTCAATCCAACGGGTGATCGTGACCTCCTTGAGCTTCTTGGCTTCATCGGCAAATTGTTTCTGAATCATCTTGTTACCATCCATGGTCATCACCGAACGGACCTCGTTACCATCGAGGCGTTTTTCAAGGAACTCCTCGCCCATCTAAAATTTGTAGAAAGATATTCATGATTATATGTTATACGCTGTTTTACTGATTTGGCGACATTACCACAGACAACTAACGGAGGTTTTGAGTTACGGAATCATGCAATTCAGTATCGTTCGCAAATCGTTTATCATTTAAGAAAAGCTTAGGGAAACCTGTAATACAGAAACTAATAGATAATAACTAATAAAAAAGAAATTTTTCATCTACGATTGGCGTCTGTATTGATTGTTGCGACTCTCAAACAGAGCATGTTTCTATAATGCTATAATAAATTAAGCATTTGACTGTGCTTCTTTAGCTGACTGTGATCGGGTAAAAGCTTTATCAAATTCCGACAAATTCCGGTATTTCGAGTGATTCCAGCTCTGGCGTTATTCGAGAGGAGAAGGCCAGCTCGCGCTGTTTGCTTACTCAAGATTTGTTAGGCCTGAGTCGAGGTGACTAAAAATGGGTCACGCAATTGATTTACTTCAGCCAAGTGATGAAAAAGGATCTCTTAGCCGTCAAGTAATTCTGCCCATGTAACAAACTCGGGGATGTTAAACGTTTGATGTCATATAGTGAATCATCGTAAAACCTTCCATCCTTGATTTTCATTAGAGTTGCCGAATGATCGTTCGTTTGACCTTGACCTTTTCAGGAATCGTTTGGAGAAATAATATCGCAAAAATGAGTGCCGTATACTAATTAGAATCTAAAAAGCCAATATAGGCTCGCAAAAGGACTTGTCAGAATTTTTTTTGGCTCCAAATAATATTTTCAACCAGAAACTGTGTCCTAATTGGGTGTCTCCGCAACTCCGGGCGGTGTGCATGTAAGAAAAATAGCTACGTGTGCACGACTTACATTTATCATAGTCTGTGGGAGATGCATCTGAGCTTAATTTGTACAAAATTCAATCTCCAGTTCTCAAAGTTGTGGTTCTAATAGTCAAATCAAAATGATAGCCTCGTCCATACGTAAACTATGTTAATAGCAGACGAGGGAGGAAAGGGGTCAAATAAGCTGCCTGGCCATTTTTTGTTGTTCTGGCGAAAAGCCAATAAGGTCCATTGGCGTGTATGTTGTCCAACATACACGCCAATGGAATAGAACAGATGGCATTTGGTCTCCAAGATTAGTATCAGTCAGATAGTGTGAATGAAGGACCCACCCAGTCAAGTAGACAAGACGGTTGCTCCCGACTGGGTAACCATCCAACAATAAACGAATGAACCTTTCGAATAGGAGCACGCGTTCGACGCTCTCCGCCACCGCCGAAAGCTGTCATAACGTATGTAAAATATTGAAATGCTGTGAATCAATTTCTGCTGCTAGCGGTCCTGCCAGAGACATCTGATTGTGACAACTGTCTGGTTAACAGGCGAACAGTACAATCATATTAATTTCCAACGGCAAGCAATGTAGCCAACTTCCTACTGAGTGACTCCTTCTTATATATACATAATATAATGGCGATATGTTTCACACGTTTATACAAATGTTTCACACACATGCAAGTCGCCATAGCACACGATGCTACATTGAAATTTTGTTCATTGTTGTTTGTTGTGATATTTTATAGAGTAGACGGGCAGCAGATAACAAGAGACCTCCACCCAATCGGCAGTAACAATCGTATCCATTTCGGGGGACTGCCTATAAATGTACATGTGAGCGAATATGAACTTGTCTGTGTGACTCTGCTCATGCACATTGTGGAATAGTTGCAGAGGTTATGGTGGACAGAGAAATGAGAAAGAGCCAAATATCTCAATACCAAGTTTACCTTAAATTCGATCAATGACGTTTTCATAGTTGTGATGGTTTCAATCTTCCATTTATCGCCTTCGTTACTGATATTAACAGTTGGAGTTGCGGCTTGTGCAAATTTGCGGAGGACCATATCTGCGATCAGAGAATGTTAGACACAAAAGAACAACACGGTTTACGTACACAGTTTTTCATCAGTTAAAGAGCAAACAGTACTTCGAAGATATAACCACAGTTTTATTTTGATTAACTGAAACCAGTGTGTGATGATTCGCGTAAGAAATTCGGGTGGGTCAACTGGCCACTGATTTTGCAGGTGGTGAGCAAAGGACTGCTTTGAAACTCTAAGGTATCTATATTTCATTAGCTAGATATCACGTTTACAAAAAAAAAAAAAGCAAGCTTTGTGATCTAATGCAAGCATCAAGCTATACCCATTGATCGAGGCTGTTAGCCTAATTTTGAACCGTTATGTTGTTACCAACCTTCGTACCAAGTTCTCCTCGTAAGCTCCCTCGGACGGACTTTACTGACCAATGTTACTTTGGATTGACCTTTCGTATTTGTTGCGAATGAGCTAGATATTATTATATTAATACATTGCATTCGGCGTTCCGTGAAAGGGAAGCGACGAGGGCCAGGTTATAGCATAAATGTAAACTTACGGTTAAACCTTAAAGGAGCACTAATGTGCATAATTTCAAGTATGCAACATCCTCTTTCGTGTTTTACATCCACCACAATACAAGTTCGAGCTTACCTACTTAATTGGGCATATTGACACGTTGCTCATCACCCGTGTGTATCGTGTATTGAAATAGTTGTTCCAACACTCGTGGACAAGCAGCAAGATGAAGCGGATCAATGCTGACCAGAGACAATAGGATTTTGTTATCTTTCCAAAAACAGGCTCAAACGTGTCATGCCACAGTGTCTTTCATTGGGTCTCGGCCAGCGTTAAGCAATGCTTTCACATATCAACTACATTCTGGAACGAGTAACCGGAAAGTAGTGCGCGTTACAGGAAAAGGGCCGTTCTTTAATGGTCTTAACAAACATCAAACGTAACTACCGTGTCGTCAGACAAAAACAAGGATAACTACACCGACAGTTGGAAGTATAATGATCTTTGCCACAACAGAATCTTGTACTCTATTGCAGTTCACAAGTGGAAATCAAAGTTAACCTGTTCGTGTACTTTTGCTTATTGAGTAACGTGTTGTAAATTGTGGTTATGGCGAAAAGCCGTACTAGCCGGAACTTAAAGATAAAACCAGGTATTTTCCACGTTTCCTTGCTTAAAGATAGCTGTGATTACTAGATTTAATTATAGTATATAGTTGGAAAATGAAACCTCTGGATGGCCTAACGCAGGACTTCGGCTATGAACAAAAACTTTTCACCGTAAACGTTTCCACAAACAATCGGAATGGGACCTATGTATGCGTACATAACGTTCGGTCTGCTGAGGATGACAGAAATAACTATTGAGTGAATTACGACATAACGCACGTTTAAAAGCTAATCTATCTACTGACAGTAAATCGTTAAAATGACATCCGCTGCAGTCGATGGCGGCGGTATCTGGCCAAGATGGCGGTCGTCGTTTCAAATGCAAACCATGATTAGAAGCTTTGATTCTGGTAGTTTCTGTTCCAGCAGAGCTCTGCCAAACGTAGCGGGTGGCAACAAAAAGTTTCTTTGCGTTACGCTCCCATCTAGTTTGATATGGATTGCCATAGTTGTATCATTGCTTCGATAATGGACTAATCATAAAAATTGCCTGTTGAAAAAATCTATGAGACACTATATCTGCACAGACTTTTCTCCAATTACCACCTCAGCCAGCAATAAGCGCGTCCATCAAAGCGTAGCATTAGGTAGTGGATTTCCTTCTCTTTTTCTGAACTATCTGCTTATTTATTACATAGTAAAAGTGGACTACTTCTACTTCCTGTAAAAAGACAGAAATCCATGTCATTCGAGAACAGGTGAGATCATGATGGTTGTTCTTCGAATACAAACAGCATAGACACCATTGCGTCATAGACATTCATTCCGAGATTCATTCCTGACAGGAAGCGGCGCAACTATTTCCTGGCAAAGTCGCTTCTTCTGCGACTTCTCATATAGCAATTGATCTGCGTTCAGCTCTGCAACCAGGTGCCTCGTTCTTGCCGATCGTTGCCTATCCGATCCTGTGATGAGAACGGAAAGCCACATGCTCTACCATATTCATCGCGTCATCTCTCGTTTACTAGTTACTGTTACCTGACAATGGTCGTTCGCCGCTATCATCTTTGCATCGAGCGGCCACAGGTCCATGCGCGTCAACAGCCACAGCGACATAACCTTGAATCTTCGTTTTGTCCCATCGTTCGAATTCAAATTTATTAGATTTATTTGAACGTTTAGAATCATGTTGCATCCGGTGGGTTGCTTCCATCGGACAGCTACAGCAGTTACGAATATGTGCTCTTCTACAAGTTATAGCAAATGATAAAGTAGCAAAGTTTATCAAGTTATCTCGGCGTATCTAACATAATTCTACCAGCCGATTTAGAACGAAACGTAGAGTTGAATCCTTTCGGCAAGTCTTGCCTAAACAAATGTGCTTATTTTTTTCATGTATAAATATTAAACACATGAGCTCAGGACTCTGCTGGAACATATGTCCTAGCACAGAGCTGGCCCAAACTGCTGTTAGGTTGTTGAAAACAACGAAAGCTTCCAAAGCGGTATCTGCGGCTCGCAATGATAGACGCAATGAAATCGCCTTGCCGGCATCGGAGATACCGGCCGCAAGCTGAGGTGGGGTCACATAGTCGGCGCTCGCCACGAGGCGCCACTGTTAGCGCGCCCAGGACAGCAGGACCAAGAGAAACAGTGGATTGCGAAGCCGGCACCGGCCATGCCTCTTCACACGGAAACCGACAACAAAACGGCGGTCATCCAGCGGCAAGCATCAGCGCCACCACACCGGCGCACCACTAACCACGGGCTGCTGTACAAACTACTGGTAAATATGTGAATATCAGACTCAATGGAAGCAAGGGCCAATAGTTTGAGAGTGACACGGTGGCTATATGTGCCATTCACACGGATGTCGCGTGAGTAGGAAGACCGAAATTGGCACCCGCTAATCGTCAACTACCCTTCCTCAGCCCCCCGGTCCGTTGAAGTGAGGCCTGGCGACGTTACGAGGGATACAAAAGGGTCGCTAATTTAGGATTGAGTAAAATTACTATTCAGCAGCTTTGTCTTTGGAGAACGAAATACAGTAATCATCCGAAGGAAGGTCTATCACCAGAAAGTAAACCATAGATGATTTATTTTCCAACGATAAGCGCACGATATATACAAATATATGTGGCACAATAGTGACATCCCGAAATGAACCGTCACGTTGCAAGAAGATAGCGCGGCACATACAGACTTTTTGTATGACGTCCACATTCTGATGAACACGATCGTAATGAAACGATTAGCTATTGGTTTGCTAAGGGAGAAGGTATAGGGAGAGCATTCATTCACCAACATTTAACTATGTGTGTTTGATACTCACTGACGCCGAGTTCCTTTAGGAAGTCATCAAACTTCTCGCTTTCGGTGAGCTTCCACGATCCAACGAATGCAGCGGCCATGGCGAATGGTTTTTGGTATTTGTGTTAATGTCGTTCGTAAGAAAAACTCTTGCCAGTCACTATTGTAGAACTGCCGACAACAACTCGAATGACTGGAGAAACATAGTCCGCGCGTGTTGTCCTACAGTTTTTGCTGCTGATGCCGACAGAAACAGCGTGGGAAAGGGTCCAGCGAGTGCGCACGCAGCTCGAATGATCACTAGAGGGACAGATTTGTCATGCTGTTTAGCGCCTGTAAACTCAGCACTAGCTTAGTAACGCCACCAGATGGCGCTAAATCATGCACTGATAGGGTATTTTACTGGTTGTTTGATCGTGCCGAAAGGGTCGTGGTAGGGCCCCTTTGCTAATTTGCCGCCATGTGCCGTATATCGTTAACAAGTATACACGCACACACAAGCAAGCCATCGCAGCCGCCGACATCATTATAATCGACTTGTTTTACTCGTTGTAAGAAGCGACTATCTAGCGCGTCCAGCGTTGGTCACCCGTTCGAATGCGAACGTTCGACGCTATAACGCATGTCGTTCTGGTAGATGGCGCCTTGCTTATTATGATAGAGTTACATTGTGTATCGGTGTATTCTTAATCTAAATAACATTACAACAGTAGTTTAGATACTAATTTTCTAGAGGAACAATTGTCCTGCAATTCATAATGGAACTCCTTAGACCTTTTGCAAGTATCATACTCAGGTCAAATTACGACCAAGCTTTCAATAAAGGCGATAAGCTAACGCGATAATAGTACTGGTAAAACTGAAAAATTTCCAGATTTTTCTTCCGCTTGTTACGTTTTGCTTACGCGAAAAAAAATTTTTTGTTTATTAAGGAAAAATAATTCGCTTGTAGGTAGCTACCTCCTATATTACTTGTACACATGGGCAGCTTCGTTACTCTGTCGCGCGGGATAATTATATTGTCCGTAAAGACAGGAGCACTCTGACAGTGTATTGGTAATTTCATGGAAAATCCAGGTCGTCATGACGCATTCCTTGAAACCCCTTACCGCATATGAATAGTTGCATCGGACTCTATACGACCGATAGCTACATCTGTCGAATCAGCTGAAAAAACGAAATTCTCTAAACACCTGACCAACCTGGGGAAGAGTTAATGCAGCTTATTTAAATGCCGAGTGTATTGAAACTTGTAGTGCGCTGTATAATTTTTGTTGGGCCGCGAATCGAGTTTATGTTAATAAAACCAGCTATTTCCGAATAATTTTAGGTTCTCTGATCACTTGTTACATTCAAATTAAAGTCGTTCACATGAAAAACACTTAAACTATGGAGAAAAAAACTTTACAGGGCAAACGCTATGAAAGCCAACACCAGCATTTTCTGTTCCCCATCTGTTTTGTACTTACGTCTGTATCGCTTTGTTGTTCGTTAAATACTTCTTACCAGATCGGAACACGTGTGAAGGTCTTACGTGTTTACTTACTTGCTTTACAATTATAAGCTAAATAAAGCCATACCATCGTGTTTGTTTCGCGGGCGGAGAATACAAAAATTTGGCCAGATACAATTTCTCTTTTCAATCATTCCATCTAAAATCATACGAAATAGACCCTGTTTACCTTGCTGTGTATTGTACTTGTAATACATCAATGGGCTGCAGCCAGAACCCCTTCGATTATTTTCCTTCAGTTCCTCAATCCGTTCCATAAAGCCGATCCGCTTGGTGCTTAAGTGCTCCATCGGCGGCTTCTATTAAGGCTTCGCATTTGCTCAAAATTAAAACAACAAACGGGCTAAATGAATCACGGCGGATGGGCGGACGAATCGATAAACGCCTTCTGGCTCCTGCGATGCGTTCAAACTTGGTCGCCTTTTTCTGTTGCTCTTGAGGGAATTGGCAGGTAACGGAAATGATGACGACGCTAGCGATCGTATGATGATGCTCTTCACGGCCACACTTCAGTGTGATTCACAGTTACCTTAGCTCAATTACGTTAGCTTCCTGCATTTCAATAGTGAAATATCTTTTACTGATGGTTGGCTGCATACGCTGATCGGACCAATCACCTCAAGGTAAACGTGCGGGCCTGGTGGCGGCGGCGGCGGCGGCTTACCTTTCTCTGACCTCATCAGCCGCTTCTGTCGTCTGCTTTGGGATTGGGGAGGATTTTTCAGCGTTCGCTGTACACAAAGAAAAAATCTGTTGCATAGAAACGGATATCGAGACCATTAGAGACCTTGGAAATAGTTGCATACACATGAAGGCTAGTCAACTGTGAAAAAGTGGCAGTACCTTTAGAGGTGAGGTTCAAATAAGTTACCGTGAAAATCAGAAAAATTCAATATACACATTTACCGCTTTGTCGTTTCCTTGAATGAGTCATATAATTGTAACACGTTCGTATATAAGTGAAATTTCTAATTAACAGAAAATTCAATAAAACGTTTACATTATTCTTGTTGGATTTGTTAATTTATGTAGAATTTTTTTTATTATTGTCTATCAAAGCTACGACGTTATGATCAAGTTTTAGATACGAGATTTCGCAAAGCTATGCCTTTAACATGTCTTCATTACAATCTTTGCTATTAAATGAGTATGTGTTTAATTAGGACTGAATTGTATTCAGCTGTAGTAGGTCCAAGAAGTAACGGCCTTTTAAGCGTGTTCTATTCGTTGTTTAAAGTTTATTTGAATTATTGGTATTTGGTATACTATTTCCTAGGTTTGACGTCTACAAAAGCATTCTGCAACATGAAATTATATTCGCTAGAACTTTTGCAATACGAATAAATGATGTTCTTCAGGCTACAGTGACCCTACCGCACAGTAAGTGTGCCGTGACCTTTTTTAAAAATGCAGACTTAGATTATAATGAATACATATGGGTCTTAATAGAAGGTTAGTCGATATAATGTGTATTGGTTTCTCATGCCTTTCTATCTACGGGCCTATTTATCGTTTCGCACTTAAGCCTTCCCGACACAGTTGTTTTTCCACTCGAAACTGTGACCGAATGATACAAAGTCGTGTAATGCATGCCGTTGATTTATATGCCTTAAACGATGTAAAAAAAAATATGCCTTGTTACTAATTCTATTCTTCGCATGGACGACCAAGCTGCGGGGCGTGCAGTACGTACGCACGATACAGGTCGAGACCAGTCGAATTTGAAACAGATTACCTGAATAACTTCTACCGATGCTCAACCGTTCACCTGACGTTCGTTTGAAAGAACGAGACAGGCGTGATTCTCCAAGAACTCGAGAAGACCTTAGTAATATAAACTTGAAGCTGCCAAAACCATTGACGTAGGACATTAATAATGGCTTCATTTAGAAACAGTCGGCTGTGTCCGCTAACAAACACGGCTCGCCTAGACGCTCAAGACAAATTCCTATAAATGACATCCTATTTCACACGATTATTGACATAACAATCGGTATTTGTTTTAGATCTATGTTACTTACCTATTTCCTACTGATATATCTACAAGCTACGTTCTCCAGACGGTGTACCGGCATGGAGCTGCTTGCCTGGTACGACGGAGCCACAGATCAGTTAGCGTAAATATAATGTATTCCAATTTAACTATAAATGGATTTAAAAAGTGCCATTCCTCTTGTACCTTTATGTATTTTGTTGTGAGGAGCGTCTAGAAAGAAATGCCCAACCCGTCTCAATGTACCAGTGAGTTTTCGTTCTGTAGGTTCGTTTTGATAACAATACCTGCTGTCAATGTTTTTCTTTGTGTTTCAATATATCTGTGCGCTGCATAATTTGGCTGTACAACTGGTTGTTATGCGTTCGACGATTTTTTTAGACGACCATTTAGTCCTATTGATATACTGCTGCTTGTCTAGAGCCGAAGGCGGACAGGAAGACGGTGCCTGGACTCGATGCTACGAAAAATGGAGATGATGCTTTTCCTTATCATGTTGTCGTTGTTGCTGCTGCTGTTGCTGTTGCCGCCGCCAATGATGACGGAAACGGTGGTTACTTGTATAAACTCAATACGGTCAATTTCTTTTGCACAGGTCGTTCTTCTCGACGCGCTGATTGTCGGCCAGTACAACAACCGCCACAGCTAGTCCGACGGTCCATTCATAAATAATTGTTATTATTATTGCCTACGGCCATCGCAGCTTTCGTTTAATATCGTAGCTGCTGGTGAGACCGCTGTTGGCTAGAATCGAGCTTCCTTTGAGAAAGGCACTGCAATCTGCGCGAAGCAAAGACATAGGCAGATGCTGTCGCGTGCGTTGGCGACCGCAGATGAGGCCGCTACTTGTCGTTTTTGCTATTAAAGCTGCCGCGATTAGTCTGGCGGTATACGTCGCGCTGATTAACTGGGTGAAGTGCGTTAGAGCTTTGTATGCCTCTATGTACATGTGTGCTCCTGTATGTGCGTGTGGTGATCTCGATTTATTTAGCTTAATCTTATGCCGGACTCATCCTGAAATCTGCACAGAGTTTCGGAAGAGCCTCAACAGCAGTGAATGCCAGATGCGTATACCAAGAAACGACTGCTTCTGCTGATGGTGCGGTGGCGTCGCCTCGATGGGACCCTAACGGCCGACGTTTGGTCTCATGTAGATTAAGGGAACGATGTTAAGATGCCCGCGCTCATCTTGGTACACGTGCGACCACCTCCAATTCCGCACTATTAGCCATATTATCGAAGCGACTACTACAAAATAGTCAGTCGCTGCTTTAGAAGTTAGTTAGCTAGCTACAAACGTGCAAATGGCCAAACCCACAAGAGCCAAAGGGATACAGGCGGTAATAGTTTAGCTGAATAGAGTAAGATAAACAAAAACAGCCGAGCGTGATTCGCCGAACGAACCGATCACTGCAATACTGGCAGAGCTTTGAAAATCTACGTGGGACGGGGGAGAAGGGGGTTCCGTGTGTGGACTATTGCTCACAGCAGTATCTAGGTGCACATTGATTGATATTTAAACTTGTTACTTTATATATTTAGACCGCTAATTTAACGAAAATTGAAAAGTAACATTATCGAGAATGTTCCGTATACACACCCTTTGTTGTTACGGTTAGAACATCAGCTTTCAAGCCTACCGTTTTCATGTTTCCTAGACTTATCGAATTCAAAATGGCTAGACACTGGTACCTGATAAGGTGTTCGCCATTAACATGCCTCATTATAATACTGGAATGATATGGAATAGTTTCGATGAAACCGCGGGTCAGTCTAACTCAATTTAGTCAACCATTGTACCAGCGAGTGCAACCAACACCTCATTATTTAGCCAGCGGTATAAAGTCACTAGCTATTTTTTAAGACCCTAACTAATTTTCGATCATATGGAGATTATAGGAAGAGGATTATATATAACAATCATGTCGTTCTGATATTTTACAGGTGATCTACTATTCAAGTTTGTGCTTATTTATTCAATTCAAAACTTGCTTGTTTACGAGATGAGCTAGTGTTTTTTGTAATGATTTTTTACCCTAGCTTAATTTTTTAAATGAATTCCAGCTAGGTGATCCTAGGTTGCGTAACAATATTAATTATTCGTTACTGACAAATAAATGCAACGAAACAAGTTAGGAAAACCTGTAATAGGAATGCTCGATCAGACTACCTTCGCATCGTACCAACCTGTCGTACAATTTAATATGATACATGATAACTCTTCGCCTGTAAAATATTCAGCCAATATTTTTTCAGAACATGAAAAATTTGCATAAACCATAGCTAACACCTTTTCAAATTTTGCGATTCTGTCATGATCTTCTCGGACGTATACGTGGCGAGCATTGTTGCCTGTAAGCTTCTCAGAAGTCAATGGGAATTAGCAGTCCTTCAGTTTATTTTAACTAATTAAGACGCTCAAAGCTTATCTTCTAATCATCAACTTATTTCAAGTTACTTTAACTCTGGCTGCACTAAAATTTATCTAGATATATATTAACGGTGCCTTAATTTCAGCACTGAAGCAGCACGGAATTAATCTAACCGCAATTTTTCGTACGTATTGGGGTATATTTTTTCCAAGAGATAAAGCTGTCTCGGCGATTGATAAATCTACCACTTATCTAGCCGACTAAACATATACTCCGACTAACAGTGGTCTATTTATACTTATTTTTGGTCTATTTAATACTGGCCAAAGGCTGGCTTGATCCAGGTAGTTGTCCTGAGTGTTGTTCATGGCCGGCTGATCTAGCTTCAATTCCGGAGCAATGTTGACACGTGAATCGTCGAGTCGCTATCAGGATAAGCGAACGTTGCTAAGACGGCGTTTGAAGGCCGAAGGCAAAAACCGGCATCCGGGTTGTGGAACAAGTGGCCACTGGTGGTCACGACCAAAGCTCAGATGCGCAGCCCGATTTTGGCGAGCAGATATTAGGATGGAGCAAATAATAGGAGGATAGTATTAGCAATCTGTCGATACAGGTCTATCGCAGATTGCTGCTTAGGTTCAAGTAGACATCTTTAGCTGACCTACGGTTGTTGTCTGAAAAAAAGTGTTCCTGTTTAAACTAACATCTAGTACGTGTGCATAGATATTATGGAACTATATGTTTAGCGCATTTCTAACGCGCCGATGCTGTCTATCGATCCCTACGATGGTGCAATAATATTGTATCCCACGAAAATTAAAGATAAGTAAGCTGGCCTAGCTTCGAAACCGGACCTAGACATAAACCGTTTCGTATCAAGAGCCAGTCATCTGCAGCAATGCTTAATGGTAGTACAGTTGAACGTATTAATTTGACATTTATTTAGGTACGTTAATTGGGATCTTATGTCTGGGAGCGTTTTTCATGAAACATAGGCGGGCGCGCTATGGAATGGCCTGTTTCTTGAACTTGAAACTGCGACGGGTCCTCGTATGCTACAGTCTAGATACTGCAAAAGCGCATGCCGTAAGGCAACTTTCTTAGACTGCCATAATTTGTGCTTGTTCCAGCGGTCGAACAGCGATGCATTTTTGTCCTTGCGACCAATATGAAATTACAAGCGATAAATAAAATAGATATTGAACTTCAGGACGAGTCGTAATCTCTAGGACGCTATTTGGCTTCATTACGAGTTCACTTAAATTATACGCGGCAACATGAGATATAATTTAAAAAAATATTACTCTTATAACTATTATAGGTAGAAACAGTAGCTTTGCAGAAATGTGCCAACACTGGCGTTACAAACGTCACAGACAAGTTGTGCTCATTTGGCGGATCTAGTTTACGACACTGCCATAAAGGCGTTAGTCTGTGTCCAAGCTGGATGGAAATAGTTACGGAAGGTTAGCCAGCTCGATCGATATATTCTATCTGACTATATGTAGCCATACGTGCTTCGGCTCCTGGACCAGTATTACGCTCAGAACTAGAAATACGGTAAGAAAGAAACGGCTCGTTTTATTTTATGATACATTTGTAGGTCCGAAGACTTTCGTAGGATCAGATTGCAGTAAGATAAATTGGATCAATTAAATAAGGTGGCGCCCCTTCAGATTACTAAACGGTCTATCTGGTGCATCTATTGGGAGGTAATTGTAGAAGTAAACACGCGTGAAACCAAACTGGGCCAACGTTTCCTCGTTTTTCCGGTGTCATATCTTCTACTATAGCACGGCATCGGTAGACAGAACGTAACTATGAGATGCGAAGTATGCTAAACTAAGCAAATATTGGCTTTAGAGAATTTCAGCAAATGATCTTTGCGCGAGCAAGAAGGCTTTCGCATTTATATAATAGTCAGTAATTGAGTCAACGCTATTTATGTCTAACGACAAGTCTGCTGTACGCATCGTCTGGCCGAAAAACCTTCGAACGAAACAGTGTAAAAAATAACGTCGCTAACTGGCTATCTACATTAGCGCTGGTCTAAAGTTCACGGGTTTAAATTTACTTGAACAATCTATAGAAAAAAAAAAAACACCCTGAGCCCATTTTCTTTGTTGTTCCCTTTCTTGGAAAAACCTGTCCATTCCCCTTCGTTGATCGATTTGACCTTCGTGGATTCTGCTCAAGTGAATCTGAGAGGGTCAGTAACTCGTATCGATCAATTCCTTATCAATCGCCAGACTCAGGCACAACTCAAGACGTACGCCGCCAATAGAGTAAATGGCCGGAACGCTGCGACAATCTTTGATACAGCTCTATGCTCAACATTTTGGTAGGCTGTGTTTTTTCAAACTGAACTATCTGCTGAAAATGCAGATCAAAACGTTGCTGGTATCTGATACAATTACAGACGTGTTCCTTATTGTTAAAGCCGCATTCATGATTGAAGCAAGCGGATGTATACCCACATAACTGTTCCTAACAATGACTGCGGTACGAGCTTTATACGGCGTCGATATATGGCATGATGCGAAAATATAATGCTCCTTCTTTCTAAAATAAACCAACGAATGTGTATTGAGAATTATCTGCAATGTTCGTTCAATGCGGGAAACCGATTCAGGGAAAATTCGACCTATTGCCGTTGAAAGAATAGCAGGTTTCTTAGCCTTTACCCCGTTTTTTTTTTGGATTCCGATTTTAGATAGAGAATGTTATTCTAACAGCTTACCTGATTTTCTGCATTGAATATGCCATATGGCCACGGACGTAGAATAGGACATTCAAACACCATCACACGCGTAGTCGCTATGTTAGAATTGTGCTGTCTTAAAGTGAAAGTAACTATGGAGTTATAGTGTTGCTTTTTGAAGTAAAAATCAGCTACAATCAAACTATCAGGCCTAACCAGTAGGTTGTTGTTCCGATGATTAGGTTAAGGTTATTGAACAGAGCGTCTTAGCACAAGTGAGTCTCTACATTTAGCTGCGGTTTCTATAACTTTTGCCTGTATCGTAGCTTCCCTCAGTGTAGAGGTAATTCACCGCTGAAATCTAGAGTTCGTATTCGACATTATCCTATTATGGCGCTGCAGTAAGAGATCATAATATGATGACAGGAACTGCTTGGCAAACAGATGAGCCAGTTATTTAAACTGCGACTCTAACACCTGCATATGGCCCCCCTCTGGGGCATGCCGCTAATGAGTGTAAAATTGACTTACTAATTTTGTTGACTTCTTTTAATCTATCGCTGTCTTCTCTCTGTGCTGAATACGCTGGTCAGCAAATGGTCGCGGGTATCTGCCATGCTGACGAAACGCACATTGGCACGAGCTGAGAAAATCAATCTAACGGCTATCAACTTGGTTAACGAATCAAAAATGCATCTCATCTATCTCTAGCCTCTTGTAGACATCTCGGCATACCCACCTATGAATACAATTAGTGACATTTTTTATTAAAGATCTTAAACTATTCTAAGCAAAAAAAAAAAAAAAAACGACCCAGGTTATTCCTTATTTGTGTAATTTTCAAATGTGTGCAAATTTTTAATAGCTGATTTTCACGTAGACAACTAAACGTCTTACATGGTACCCACGATATTGCAACAGCCAAAATTTTTGTTCTAAGCTTCCTATAGTCTTGGTCCTCTCCTACACCGCTTCACATACTGAATTATGAAACCGCGATGGAAAACTAGCGATGGGGTAATGCGTAAGCCTCGAATAATCGATCGGATGATATTGCTCTTCGAACATATTCGAGATACTTCACAATGTCGACCCTCTGCTTATTAAACAATATCCTTTAATAATAAATGGCACTGATAACCTGCACGAGTATAAGCGTCAGCTTGCGCTCAAATCTGTGTAGCACAGTCGTCGAAAGGGCTTTCTCTCTATGTTGATGCCATTCGCTCAGCTGATCCTTTTCGGAAGTCCAGCAGAAGTTTTTCGGTTGATATGAAGGTTTTGTCTTGGGTTCGTTAAAGAAAAAAAAAGTCTATTTTTTGCTTTTCTTCTTCATTTTCTTTACAATTTTCATAATACTTACTTCGAGGAGGTGAACCACCGACAAAAAGGACATTGTCCATGATTTCCGTTCCTTAAAAGGTCCCGTGATCGCAGCAATTTGTTTTTTTCACTTAAAGCCTGAGAGGTGTAGTCACTCGCTCTGTAGTCTTTGGCCCCCGTTTTTGATACGATTGCGTCCGTAACGATTTGTTGTTTCGTTATTGTTATGTTGTTTCCTAAATAGTTAAAGGAGTTTAACTTAGAAGAGGATAATTCATTGCGAGGCGGATATATTTCAGACGATTCACCTGCTGGCGGGACTTAAGATACTTCATATTTAAAAGAAATAGGCAAAATATTGCTATAAATGATGTACATATTAGTCAGCAAAACTCAGATTCAAAGTAGGACTTTTGAAAATTTTGCGTTACCCTTATCGACCACAGATATGTCGAGCTAGATGGTAGTGCTAAACGTATTTACGTTTTTGGTCCTTGGCCAACACTTGTTCTGAGGTGCTACATCGCCAACGGGCCTGAAGTTTTTCCTATATTACTATAGAAGCCATGAAATACGTCTACATCGTTGCCTCCATTTTTATGTCTCTGGCATTGTCGGCATATGATAGCATTTGTCTTTTCATGGGAGGCATCCCTTTCTTTCAAACAATGCTTCTTAATGATCTATTGTCCCTGGCCATGGCCGTCATGCCGGCTGTGTAAACAGGTTCTTTTTTAAGAGAAAGGTATCCGAGATGCCGGACTCTCCAGGTTCAAACACGCGACTAATGACAAATTGATTTATAATACCACCCTCTCTATTGCCCTAGCCATCATTAAAACGAAAAAAATATGTATGCTACAGCGATCAAGTAAGAATGGTGCATAATAACATCTACTAATATCTTACGTTTTGGCTTCATTAACAGGAATCTATAAAGAACTGCATTTTTTTTTCTCCCCTACCATCTGTCAAGGATAAGCCGTGAGATAATTATTTCTGAAGGGGTATAGGTTGCTATACCCCTTCAGAAATAATTAAATAAATTAAAACGTACCATCATGAGTAATGTCCCAGACATACGCCGATCTGTGTCATAACGTAGAAAATATCAAATCAAGTTTTCTCTTTAACTCCTGGACAAAACTGTCCTATTTTTCAAATCGTTTGCTCCTCTAAGGGCTGGGAAATAAATTGACTTTGTCCCGCCGTTGCCCCCTGCTCTACGCGCTACAGTGGCAATTGGTAACAGAGGCGCCCGCAACGGATCCATTTCCGAGGATAAACGTCTTCCTAGAAAATTCGGGGAGGGCCATATGGGAGGAAAAGTCATGTTCTGTGAATGAAGGATCTGCTACCAGTCCTCTAACGAACTTCGCTCTCGTAAATATTACGCCGTGCACATTTTTTCCCGATCCGATCGCGTTATAGATTGTGATCCTTTTGCGGTGAGCGGTAAGAAAGTTTTGCTGAACTGTGAAACAGCGAGCCTTCAACCGCAAAAACTGACACATTTAAGGATTCCAGTTTGTCTGAGTAGTGTGCAGGGCCAATATGTTATGGGTGCCGCTTTTTGAAGCCAAACAAACACAGGTCTAGGCACGATTTTGTAGATGTAAAATCTGAGAGACTTAGTTGATGCTCTACTCATTGCGCAAACAGAATTTTACTGTCTTCGATCATTTTTCGAATCAAACCTGTCATGGGGACGCAAAGGTCAATCAAAGCTAAAACTCCCGATTCACTCTGTAGTAGTGATATAAAGTAGTATGAAAACGTACAAATGTAGCTCCGCATCGTTCGGAGTGGAGAAATTATTTCAAGTTTATCCAGGCGGCCCGTGAAGCGCGAGTCGTAACATCGTATCTTGTTTGTGAATTTTTCCCAAATTCGAAGTCACGATTTTCGAAAATAAGAGAAAATATTCAAAGCCAGTGGCTGTAATAACATATGCGACAATTATTTTCCAGCCATGATAGAGAAATCTGGAAATTCGTTCGGATATAGTTTTCTATATATCAATTACCTTACTTCTGCCAGATTATCTTCAGTGTTGCAGGCTAGCTTAATACTCGAACGGTACATTTCTGCTCAATTCGATCACTAAAGTTATTGAAACGTAAAAACTTACTCGTCGTACTTTTTCATTAGCCGCGTTGTTAGAGTTCGAGAGGCCATATCGTTCTTCGATTGATTCTTTCAGTTACATTTGGTGGTATAGTTTTACTTTCCATCCATAGGATTTGTGCGTATCGGACGACTGTATTCATAAAGGATAAACACGAAACAGCTTCCTTCAAAGACACCGTCGTCCATAAAATTTATCTAACTGCTATAATTAATTATTTATTCACTAGCTAGCAAAAAAAAAAATGGGAACCGCAAGTGAGCTGCTTAAGTAACTGTACATTTATTTACCATATTGCATTTTATATAGTTTGTGTTTAATAGAACAATATCACGAAAACTTTTTGTGTTCGAGAAAAGCAAAGCCCTTCACGACAATTGAATGTAACACGAAAAGAAATCATAATGCTCATTACTTACAGATACGCGTCTACATATGATTACACTATTAGGAGCTTTTTTTGCCAAAACGAAGTCTATAGACTCAGCTTGCGCTTCACTGTTAAGTGCATGTCGTGATGTCCCGCGTCTGCGTCGCTAATCAGTTTCTTTGGTAAGCTAAAATACAAATATGGCTGCAGAGAATATGAAAATGGGACTTTTATCTGATGTTTTTTCCAAAATTGATCCGGAAGGCGTCCAGCTGTTTAGAAATGACTATTGCAAATAGTGTGTTTTTATTGTAGTTTACCTGTTTTTTTTGGGCACAGTCAAAAAAATAGGAAACCAATGGACTCACAAGCTTATCTATCTATAAGTTCTATCGGCAATTTCTCTTCATGTATGTTATGGAAGTAAGCATGCCGATATCTATTTGGGCGACGCATGTTATTACCTTTTTTATCGGGTGTGTTTTTTTCATTGTAGGCTTGACCTTATTTGTTATAGCTTCAAGTTGACCGTCTAACATCTGTTGTTTTGTCTTGGATACGCGTTCAGGTCATTGTCACGTTGCAGTTGTTTACTGATATCATCTCGATAGTCATCAATCTCGCTGGTTCAACTTCAATTCGGACTAGAGCATATGGGGCTACACGACCTTTTTGCCGATGCCACCAGACATAGGGCCCGCTAGCTCCCTGCACAGTTTGGAATCTGTTTTCTATTGTAGGCACACAAGCGAAGCAACAGAAGAGGCAAGACTTGCACAGTATATACAATGATTACGTGTTACATGTTATATTCAAATACATGCCAATAGGATCTCTTACTTCGACGACGGTGGCAAGCTTCGTATGAACGTAAAATGGTCCAGCCTTGCCTACCACCAGGGAACGGTTTGCCAATAGACTGCTGAGCATTAATACACTATGCTATTATATGTTTTGCATATGTAGATGATTCGCAAGTTTCTAAACGCGACCACGACCACCATTCTGGGCTATCATACAACGACGACGTTGTCTATATAGTGCAGTGGGATTTGTTCGGCAAACATTTGCGCTAAATCTCCAAAGCATGGCCTTGCGTCTTTCTCAATGCTCCAGCAACGTAGCATGATCTCATAGCACCAATCAGGACATGCTATCGGTTGATCTAATCGAGAACCTGTTTCGACGAAGTTCAACACCTGAAAAGAGTCTCGAACTGTTTCTATTCTATAATGCATTAGCCGCTATCGGTGCATCTGCAAGCACTTCAAATGCCCTTTGTCGATTTAGCACCTAAGTCGAAATCTGTACCGGAACACTACTGGTGTGCTGTAAAAATACTGAGTACTTACACTTGCGACAGGCTTATTCGGTCGTTTCTGATCTTCGCTTAGCGGCGTTTTCTTCAGAAACGTTTTGAGGGATTTCCCCAGTCTTTGATATCTCGTTGTATGAAAGAATAAACGCGTACAGATCAGAGTGACGCCTGATGCCTGCTTGACCCGTCCATGTAGTTCGATATGAACATGTGTCGCGATGTAACACGGATCAGTTCATTACAATTAAGTGCTGATAACGAACAGGTGGAGAGCCAACGCTCATGGGAGCAACTGTACACTATCGGTAACACTCAACAACAACAATATCGTCCTAACGACAGGCCTCGCTTTCTTCTTATCAAAGATTCGGGGCAGAGCTGCTAACTATTTTTGTTTTTTGGAGATGTTTTGTATTCATGCATAGATATTCGTAGAATATTATCATGTAATCGATAAGAAGATGAACTATCTAGTCAATTATTGACAGTAGAGACAGTGATCTGGTTGGTGTCTGCGTGTGGACTAAGAAAGAGGTGTGATTCAGCAATGGACGAGTGATAGGATCATTTGTACGTTTTCTCGTTTATTAGAATCTAAACTAGTCGACCCTTTATCGATTAGATTAAACTGTCACAACAGAATGTGTCCGAGTACCTGTATTCCGGTCATGGACCCGTAAGGTTGCTCTGCTCCGAAAGAGTACATCTCCCATAGGGTTACCCCGAAGCTCCAAACGTCACTAGCAGTACTAAAACTACCAAAGTTGACTGCCTCTGGGGCATACCATTTCAAGGGCCATTTTCCGCCTGTGGACGCGTGGTAGTTGTTGTCGTTGATCTGAAATACATAAAGCTCAAAATGTTGTTATTCAAAATTGCGTCTATTATTTAATCGTGCTTATTGTTGTTACTTTCTCTTGTTGTTTGAACAGCAGCATTTTAACGACTTAAATAAAGTTTTTCCGTAAACTAGAATATGTTGTTAGTTTCGCATTTCTGTCATTTTTGCTAAGATGCGCCACCCTCACATTGGACCGTTACCCATTACAATGGCCTGTATTAAACTGCCTAGTCAACAGCTGACTCACAAAACAATGGTCGCTTACGAGCTCGTCAATAGCTCAGTGTATGGCGACAATTCTTGTGACAGATTTCTTTTACATTGGCAATACCGCAACAACAGTACGGTAGCGTTTTACTTAACATTCGTATGTAATTTGAATTTAGCAATTCAAATTACATACGTTGCAATATGGAGATTTTTTATTATTATGCGGGTCATATACCCACCTGTACGGCTCGCGACAATCCGAAGTCAGAAATCTTGGCCTGCATTCGCGATGCAAGAAGGATGTTTCGGGCAGCAAGATCTCGATGCACCAGCTGACGGGACTCAAGATAGCTCATTCCACTTGCAATCTGGGTCAAACAAAACAAAAAGAAACACTATATTTGTCATAAATACTCATTGAATACGCGTGCTACATTCGACTCGGATATCGTTCCTATACAGTATTACTTTGTTTTCAGAGCAGATACATACGTATGCACGCACACACATACATAAGTGTGATGCTCACATGAGTAGAAAAATATAAAAAGAGACAATATTCATTCATTTCAACGTTGAAAAATCTTGAAGGAATAGTTAGGTTTATTTTTAGAAAGTGTACTTAGTGCCTGATGTATACAAGCTCAACAGGAAGATAACCCCCGAACATTTGAGCTACTACATCAAACCTTACTGTAGTCATACGATCACTTTGTATATGATGATATAGGTGTATTTAGTTAATACTTCATTGACTTAATTTTATATCTTTGTGGGTATTCAAGCGGAATAAAGCTTCATTGAGTTATGTGCCGGTGATGGACGAGGCTGATCTTAAAATCTTTGTATTATCATTTTAAATGTACGGTAACAAAGTAAGTAACGTTTGATGCCTAAAACAGCTTATCTATGCATTATAGAGCTTTCCTTTCCAACGCACGCATCGTATAGAAAGGGCCAACTTGTTTGAATGGATCTTGAAAGGTACTTGTTCCTAGGCTCAGAGTTGTCTCAACAATAGTTCCAATACATTACCGACCTGCTGGGACCACCTTGGGAAATCAACTTGAACCTCGATCGTATCTGCTTGTTCTTGAAGATACCGAATAAGACTCCCAAGCTCCACCAGTTCTTGAACCTAAACACGATCAAGAAACATAGATATGTCATCGTATCAAAAAATGATCAGTTAGTTATGATGTTTAACATCGTAAAAGCAAACAAGTTGTAACTTGCCAGAACTCAGGAAAGGCGCCTTTATTAATTCACGGTTAAAAGCCTAACAATGTAGGCCACAGTTAGGTTTTACTCGTGAAAAAATTTCATATAAATTGGTATTTTATACTATGATCAGTTGGTGTTAGGTTGTAAGCGAAATCATTGTTTCCATAGGCCAAGTTTAGACCTACCATCATGAGGGGAGGTCCTAAGCAAACGCCGATGAGTTTGACAATACAAGGATGTGCCAAACCAAGCATCATGTTTACTTCGTGCACAAAACCTTTCCATTTTTCAGGAGTTGAATGTTCTTCACGAAGTGTTTTTACAGCAACCTGAGTGCTTCCGCTGCGCGAATCCCATACACCTGGCATCGTAATTACATTTAATATGGCAGTCTTTTTGACTAAATATCTATGAAATTAACGCTGTAGTGTTTAGGCTGTTTTACTTTACAGTTCGCCAGAACAATTCTTCCTCTGAAGCACTATGTCCTATTGCCGTCTTGTCGGTAAATTTAAAAATGTACATATCCTTTTCAATACGTTCCACATTTGTAGGGTTCTTGGAAGGAGTCATTGTAGTCCTGCATTAGTCGCTTGACATTATCTCAATAATTTGACCTAAGAAGATTCGAAATCGTTTGAATTTTGACAATCAAGCCGAAGCCCACTTTCACTGAAAGCTTTAGCTACTCCTTTTGACCTCCTCTTGTTAGAGCGAACAATTTACCTTTTGTATTTGGTGCATTCTACACCATTTTAATTGGCTTAATTAAGGGGTAGATTTGCTATGTTGGATTTCATGCACGAGCAACGGGGTCTAGTTAAGAGATCTCTGTCTCGCAGTCGGGTCGGTCGTTATAGGATATACTAGCGTAATTTGTGTACAATTTATTCGTTAATCTATTGTTGATGAGTTATGCAAATTAAGTGAAACTCTTATACTGACCACTATATACAGATCCAAATTCTCCCCCTCCGATATTTTCCTTGAGTTTGAGTTTTTCCCTAGCTATGATAGAAGCATTTTCGAATTGGCGTGTCGGCTCATTCGGTGATGCCCCTGCTGTCGGCGTCAAAGGCGCATGCAGCGAGGTCCGCCATCCGGGAAGGCTAGAACTGACTACTGGACCTACCACTGTAAAATCGGTCAAGATTCAGAGAGTTTCTCTAAGGAGGGTCTTGTCTTCGTCGGAGTTGTAACGTTTTCCCTGATTATACAAATAAGCTATTGGTGATCGATTTGGCTTGATTGTTGTTACTGAATAGTTTATTAAAGTTCATCAAGTATATGGATAAGAGCCGCCCTTACCTGGTCTGACGGGTGCTCTAAGAGTGCAGGGCAGACCATCGTTGTGTCGAGAGTAATGCTCAATGAGAGCCTCGAGACTATCAAAAAATGGGCCGTCATCTATAAAATGAAATCGATTCCTTCGAGAAACCGCGAAATGTTTTCCCTCCCCATTATAGGCCATTGAGAGCACGGTTGTGTTTTCTGGGACACCTGTACAATATGAAGGTGTTGTAAACAGTTGCCTCAAAAGTGACGGTGTTCAATTGCGCCATATCGATAATGCCCTCTGTCATACGGCAAGCGACAGGTAATTGAAAGCTTCAAATTCTATTTGTGATATGTTACTGGGTTGAGTCTTGCAGATCAAACGCCGGCGACCAGTAAAAATGAAGACTATATAAAATACTAGTGATGATATTTTACTTATATTTGCTACTGTATGTAACGAACTCGATGTCATCAGTGCCACGGCTGGCGCTATTACATGTATTACCAGTCTGAATGATAGCAAATGAAAGACTCATCGAGATGATGAATTGCTCACCTGGTCTTCTGCTGGTTCTAATAAGGAACGCTCCGTCGGACGAACCTTCGAGCAAAGCATTTGCCTCTTCCCTTAAGAGGCTTCCATGAAACCATTCCTCTCGGTGGTAACCCTGATACACGGGATCCATCCTCTCAGTTAACAATTTCGTCAAACTGGGTCGCAATTCTGGCTGTCCCCGGTATACTAAGTCTTTGGGTAGTTCCTCGCCCTTTGTTCGCGGCCGCACTGGAGCACCTTCATCCAGAAGCAAACGGACGATATCTTCATCTCCACGATATGCAGCAAAATGCAGAGGAGCCTAAATCCAGGTTCCATACAAACCAGGATTGTGCAATTAGACGCCACCTAACTATTGCCTTAAAATTTATCGACAACGAATAGGCGTAAGCTCACTGATTGCAAGTATTATATTTTTATTCTTCATATAGTGTTATCGGTTTACACTAGTCAATAAACAAGTGGTAACGTACCCATCTTGAGCCCAATGAATAAATGGTCATCGAGGCTCCGTGATCGAGTAGATGTTGTACACAATGGAAATAACCCTCGCGACACGCGTAATGTAAGGGAGTATGTCCTTTACCATCAAGGCAGTTAGGAGACGCTCCGCGGTCGAGAAGTTCCAATGCTATTTTAGGCTCACCTTCTAAACATGCAAGGTGCAGAGCTGTCTGACCGTCTTGATTTTTAGCATCAATGTTATAATCACTTTGAAGCAATTCTCTCACGACTGATAAATTACCTGGAAATCAAAGATAAAACATTAATAATTTGTACCACGCACAAATCAAAGAAACAACACTCTGAAATATACAAGCATGCCTATCTGGGATGTGTATTATTAAAGGGAGGAAGCGGAACAGTTCAATGATGAACCAAGTAAATTATGATATCTACCTATAGCAGAGTATATTCAGATAAACCGGTCAGGTAATAGGGAATAACATTTGTGTGTTGCAAATGGTAAAAACATAGTAGGGGAAACTGTAATAAAGAAAAGTCATATGAACGTATCTTTATAAATAAGTTATACCACTGGGATTTATCAAAGCTTAATTTTCATCATGGAGACAAGTGCTATGTATTTCAACAATTACTACTTAAATAAATTAATAAAGGTTCAATTAAAACCAGGTAAATTTAAAGTAATCTTTATTCACTTGAAACCACCTTTAGCTTTATTGAGAGAAAGGCCGCAACTTCGGATCAGATTGCTACCTCGCAATACTCTATAAATCTTATACGGTAGGTTTTACTTGTACCGCTTGTGCTCTTTTGTTTGCTACTAAATAAGCCCGCAGGCAGCTTACTCACGCATTATACCTAGTGATGTCAAAAAGAGTAGCTAGACGCCATTTTTATTCTTTTTGGTCTTTTTACTAAACTATTACATCTGTGGAAATACCCAATGCGGTCTTTCGTATGATCGTACGAAGGGTCATGACAGAGTCTACACTTTCCTAGGGTAAACTCTTCTTCAATAGTTACGTTACAGTAAACAATGCACATTTATCTAGAGCCACTGAACGCGTAGTAGTAGTAGTAGTAAGCTGAGCTCATCAAAAAGCGCTTCATTATGCCATCTCTACTTCGGAACTTTATTTTGCTATTCTCGTTGCCCAGTCATTTGGGTTCGACATCCACCATTCCAACATTTGTTTTGTCGCACTGTTATTCTAGCTCTTCTATACTCGTCCATGTTTTTGGGAAGTCAAAATTAGAACATGACGTAAATACCTCTCGCTATAAGATACCATTTTTTATTTTGGGGCCTCCCGATAATCGCTAGCCAACTCCGCCGGGAGCCAACCGCTGAGTAGAAAATTTAATGTTCATTCAGGAAATTTCTGTTGAAAAGCATTCTTCTGTTGCTCGCGAGCTTCTCGGCGGTGGTATCTTCGCGAGCACGAGTAAGCCGCCTCTATGTGACGAGTAGTAGCTATGTTGCATATATACAATATATCTCATTTCCGCAATCGAATCAGTGTGCTTCCACATGTTCTTGCTTCAAATGCAGCAATAGCAGCAGTTGTTGTCTGTGGCTTTATTCGCTTTGACCCAGCTCGATGATGAGAGTGGGTTTTTCCCGAACGTATGCGTTCAAGCGGAGAAACTCATGGAATGTCCACTTCTGTTTGCCTCCTGGTGTGCGGCGGGATGGGCGGAGCGAGGTAACACAATGATGGTTGATTACGTGAAGACGAGAGCTCAATACGCAGGCTGTTTACTAACTGCGTCTAAATCGTCATTTTGCCGAACCTTCTGGCTATGTTGGCTTATTAACCCAAGCGCTTGTCTTGAGCGGCCAGTGTTATTAGACTAGTTCATGGTAATCACACACTGCGTAACAGAGGAATGGTATGATTGGATGCAATGCTCTGCTGGCAACCCATGACCACATCAGGAACCAACTAGGCGGATGGTAACAGCATTCTCTAAAACAAAGAAGGACCGCGAGAGAGAAACTCTGTCCTATTTTAGAGTTTGCGGCCAGAGTGAAAATCGCTGCAACGAATCGAAAAAGCGTTTTGCTACGGCTAGCAAAAGTTACGGTTCCACAGAAAGGAGTTTTGCGACGCAGCGTATAGATGGTACTGAGGGTTCTTACTGTGTGTATCATTTGGTCTTTTTTATTACGTGAAAAGCGGCGCAGTTTATTAAAATCGAGAGAAACTAAGTAAGCGATAGCTGAAAATGCGGTGGATTCGTTTTAGAACGTGTAGTTATTAGCTCTATTCTTGACGGTAGATATTGCCTAACAGTCATATTGCAGACGGCGCTTATCGAACACATTCGTCGAATGAGTGTCGTTACGAGTGGTATATGGAAGGTTATTTTTTTTTACACTCCTATTATCCTCGTGTTCTCCCGAGTCCTTGAAATCACGCTTCTGTATAAACTTGAAATATGTGAGCGAAGTTGGCAAGAACTTGGCTAGCTTTGTGATTACATGGATTTCGTTAATCTGTCCATAACGCTAAGTACAAAAAATGTGAAATCAAGCTTTAATAAATGGGGCAACTTTACAGCCAACTAGTCAGAAAGAGTCAAAGTATGACGCCAATAATGGATCAGCTCGGTATCAGCCGGCCTATTGATACGGCTCCCAAATGTGACTTAATTGGGTTTTTATTGTACACCTCTGAGATCGTCTTCAACTTTAAGCAAAGTACTTTATTTATTTCAATTGGAGTTGTGAGAATCAGACTTGGCTGAGCAATAAGTATTCTTGACTTACTAAGTAAAACTGATAGGTAATCTTGCGTTACAAAATTATACTAAACTAAAGCTTTTTAAAAAGTAGGTAGAATCTTTCATTTGTGTAATGCCCTCAATGATCGACGTTTTATTAGTACAGAGTCACAATTAGCGATTTAACACCATAAATAGTACAGAAAGACCTCGGACTCACAAAGATGTGGTACAGAGCTTCGTTGATCAATCAACTCTCAATAATAGTTTCAAGTACATATACGTTTTACGTTTAGTGTTTAGACATCGAGAAGACCGGCTTCAAATACACGGAACGGAGTGTATTTACGTCTAGCTTTAAACTATTCAAATGATCTGAACCATTAAGATCAACGCTCCCGGTGGCTAGGTATGAACATCGTTGCAAGTGTTACAAGTACTGGTCCTTAGACAAGACAAATGCTAATTGAATGGTTGGCCATGCTAGGCCATACAGGTCCTGAATGTGAACATAAAAACTATGTACAATTTGTTACTTACACGATTTGGTCGCTCTGTGCAGAAGGTTCGTCCTTCCATGCCGTCGCGTATCATGCGGAGGCGCTTGACCCTTGCACATCTCCTGAAGCGAACATACCAAGCCGGCCTGACCGGGTTGTTCATAGTAACGTATAAGCTCCTCCAGGCCATGAATAATCGGTCCAGCTTCGCCTGCTGAAAAAAATGCGTCACCACCATGTCGTCTTACCTGCATATAAAACCGCCATTTAATTGTCAGGATAGGCATTCATTTTGATTACTACGTTGAGGTGTAGCGAAGAAAAAGAGATGCCCATCGAAAAACGTATCGAATATATTACAATTTTGCTTCAGTAATTATCTATATAACTTGGCTGATAAAAAGCAAAAAAAAAAGTTCTCAGAAGACAATCAACGTTTGTATCCGCTGTACAAATCATAGTTCAACTTTTATGTTTATTAACGCCTACCTGATAGTGTACGACGGAGCCATTATGGACGACCGAAATAGCGAAATCACCGTGTGAACTTCCGGATTCTCGCACAAGAAACTGCCCATTGCGACCGCCGTCTGAATTTAACCAAAGAGAATACTCGTATGCAAAACGTGCAGTTGTATGGTATTATTCAATTATGTCTGAAACGTAACATGAATTTACTGGGACAAACAAGTAGAGCCTCGAAAAGGCTCGGGCTGGAAAAAATTCCGGACGACTCCTATAACAAATATAATAATTTGACGAACTTCATGCAACCAAAGATAATCGCCAGGCTAAATCGTATTTGATATAAAATATAAGCTAAACAATACATTTCACCAACGTCGACCGACCTAGGGACCCATCTTTTCATGATGAATAGCCTTCCTCAATGCGACCTTGTAAAAGCAGATAGCTTTCATCGGCTGAAAGTGCCAAGGGGTGCTGATTTGATCCCCATCATTGACATGCTTGATAAAATCAACAAATAAGCACTAAATTTGGTCCCCTTGTGCGTGGCTTGTATTAACCGAAAAAAGCAAATAAATGGAGGTAGAACTGTGTTGGTGTCAAACGTAATATGTGGTCGCAGGGTTGGCTCTAGTTATAGTTGTGAGACATTAGACATTTTACCTTTAACTAATCGATGACATGATTGTATTACCAAATTGTTGCCTCCAGACCCTCTGCCTGGACACGTTGTTTACCGTCTAACAGGCGCTTGTCCTTTACATAGGCACCATAAGTGCACATAGTTAATAGGTGTGCAGTTGATGAAGATATTGCTGGTGATCAACGATACACCGTAACATTTGTAAGCTTATAGATCATATCATTGATTCCGTCACTTATTGCACCTTGTGCCGAGTGTGCCGAAAGGTGGGTGCTCCAGTTCGCACAACTTGAACTTTGCGTAAGATACTTGTCATGGATAACCTTGTAACATAAACAACTATGCATACACGCACAACTACCCAAACTTCGTTCAATCAAAGACGACAGACGACATATAAAACCTTGAACAAAACATTTAACTTCTAGTTCATAACAGCTATTTAAAGTTCATTGAACTACTTGTCTTTGTCCGTCTATCGATAAGACATCAAACTGTGCCCTGGGCAATGTATTGCGTGATTATAGATTACTAAAAACCAATTGTCAATATTTTTCTCTAATTTTGTTCGAATATAATCAATGGCTCTAATTCTGTATGCTTTTTTTACCAATAGATTTGAAAAAAAATTTGAGGACTTTATTTTCTCTTTTCGGTTGCTTTTTTATTTCATATAATTATGACTATCATAAGAATAACTATTTAAGGACGCTATTTCGTACGCTAATAAACATAATCCAACATTCACGATCCAGGAAGACTATACGCGGCTCGATAAGAACAGTACAAATGACATTCAGCAGTCAGTTAGAGAATAAAATCGCCCCATCGGGGCGATTTTTTCAAGGCCTTAATCGAGTCTTGATTAAAATAACGCATTTGTCTTTTAACTCAAAAAAAAAAAGGCACGATGCCTAACTTCGGTTATACAAGCGTTTTCTCCAGGGCGACCTACTGCTCAAAGACTACTATTAATTACTAAGCAGATAATAAACCGAATAACATAAATTAGGTGACTCCGCAATTAACAACTGGAAAGATTCGAACGATGCCCTTGGACTAGGCTTGATTCGAATACGAGTACGGCCTGCCATCCACGACTCGATTAATGAACATTAGGTTAGGCTGATAACATCAAGGAGATTCGATTTTCCTTTTGGAACCTAACACTTTCCGACTGAAGGACCAAAACAAAGTGAATAATAGATACGATTTATGTTTAATCTGCGTCATTCCTCGCTGAAACAGTGCTACACTCTATGCGACGCTCTCCAGGATTATACAAAACAAGACCTGGGAGCCAATTGCCAACGTCACGGCTTCTATATAGACGCATCAGATAGGTAAGCATGGTGGACGCATAACAGGGGCAAACATCCGAAATAAGGGCTTCGTTTCGCGGAAAGGTTTCTTCCTACGATAATTTGACGATGCAAGTAAAACCCATAGTTAATTTCGATGTAGTTGCTTACAAGCTATACTAACCTAATATTAAATGCTATTTCCGCAGTTTAAATTACCTTCATCAGCCAGCAGAACAGAAACCGCAAAAGCGTTTTGTTACAACAGGCACTCGAGATAGTTGATACAGCAAAAGCAGACACCAGCGCTAGGCTACAAAATGCGTAGATCACAGTAGTGGAAAAGGTTAAAGGCTAGCGTATTATGCAGACCAGACTTTAATGATAATATGCTGTTTGTTTGTTACCTTCGCGCTCTCGAACCCCACATCCTTGGACCCTATTCAGGTACTGGGTCTAATACCAAAGCTTTTTCGGGAAATATCCGAATCAGGACAATGTGATCAGATTAGTAAAAGGAGATAAACGGATTGGTTTAAATAATGCATCGGCTTTCCTAACACAAAATGATGGAAGAGCTAGATAACGACGCCTGTACTAGCGCAACGGAGGTAAACGTCAAAGTAATGAAAAAAAACTGCGACGAATTCGGTTCGAGTCTGCGGTTTCGGATCCAGCGAGTCTGCATTCAGGTTAGGTTAGGTCAGATCAGATCAGCAAAAAGGGTGGTTTTGAGTACCGTATGTAGGCTCATAGTCGATCACGCGAGAAATGGATGAATAGGTCAGCTGAATAATCGAGCTTTTCATGGGTAAAAGCTGGCCAAGGCTGTACCTATTTGGTAATGTTTGTTACCACAGAAAGCAAGAGTCAATGATCATTCGCTTTCTACATACATACATACATACGTACATACATCATAGATACAGATCGCATGATTCGACGAATCTAGAACCTTTGTCGGACCCAATCTGGTGTGTGGAAATATCGAGTTCGAAGGATAAACCTGCCTGTTGTAAAGGCGCAATTTTTGAATGTGAGCACAAGCTCTTTTGCCTCGATTGAATCGACTTACCTCGATTAAAGGGCACGCCAATCACCAAGTGTTACATATGAAATATTACGTAATACTGTGCTGCCTCGCTGTCTATATTTTATGCGACTCTACCCAATATTACGCATCCCCTCGCCGAGCCATTCTGGCAAGTTTTGCCCCCAATCGGCATACAGGTTCCAAACTGGATATTGCAGACCGGATAAAGCACGCACTCTTATTTAGACGATCCTTTATTCCTAGAACCTTGTTGAATAAACACCGCAATTAAGATACGCATATTTACAACGATACGGCTATCCGTGTAAACACGTGGCTTGTTGTTTCAATATGTAGAGTCTTAAGCCTTTGACTGATTTACGATCTGAATCCAAGAAATTCTTCTGGCCAAACTCTCGCCAGCTTCTTGGTACGAACCAGTGAACCATGACGAACCGACTTCAATGAAACTGTAGTGATACAGTCTTCAAATAACAGGTAAGCCTAATTCACGTTAGTGATATAATAGCGGGATGATTTGAAATTGTTAGATTCGGAAGAGGAAGCACTCACTTTGTCGGAGAACTTCCTCGGCTTGGGAACGGGTCATTTTTCCGTGGAACCATTGGCACGATTCGACGAGCGATCGCGCACCCGGTGAAATGATCCTCGTCGGGGCAGTGCGCTCCGACTGTGGAGTGAGCGGCGGAGATACGATTGGTGGACTTCCATTCGAGTCGCCCATCCTCTGTAACAATGGCCGAAACAATATAGGTAAAATATTTTTTAATCATCTTCGTCGTCATCATCACGCATATTTTCTCTGAACGTCGAAGGCGTGGGTCGCCATCAAACACAACTGTAGACGAAACAAGCATTGGTGTTACCCATGGCCGAGACAATTAATGTCGTTTTGATTAAAAAAAAAAGAAGAATAATGCTTCATTCCACTGCTAGATCCGAGACTATAGTACGATAGACGAGATATATTATGACCTGCCAAGAGAATACCGACGCTGGCCTGAGTGCCTTATCAGTGTGGACTGGCAAAACGTTAATCCAATGTAACATCGAGACTTAAGCAGTAAATCATGGTAACACGAAACAATTAAATTCGTTGCCTGATTACGTGTTTGTCTTTCGACCATGACCGGATCTTGAATCGGATCAGTCGTCAGCTGTCTGAGACGGGGACGCCTTTAAGTTATTATTAATTTAATTTAAATTGAGCCTTTAAAATTTAAATTGATTTTAATTAAATGAGCCAAGATCAACAGCTTTTTTTTTAACCCACGGGGTTGTTTAAGTAAGCCGGTTCGGCAACGGTATTGGACAGACAGCACGCATCCCGGTAATAATCCTTTGTTCTTAATAATCGAATATAATGAATGTATATCATTGAAATAATTGTGAGCATATTGCTAAAGTTAATGTTATTTCGTTTTTAATATTGATTCGTATCTGATTTGATACCAGAACCGGATGACAAAAACTGTCGCTTTATTTGCCACTCTCGGTGGGTTTGTTTAGCGCTTAGCAAGTTCGAGGAAATCTTGAAGATTGATTCAGTCGTATAGGATAAACTGATTGTAAATACAAGCGAGCCTTTAGCGGTACACATGAACCACGATGGATTTACCGGTTAAACAAAAAAATCCTAAACAACGATTCATGCTACTGCCAACCACCAGGGTGGATGTCGACGTTCTTTCCGGCCATATATCTTAGACACTTCCATTAACGATTATTGCAGGCCAAGTGGTCGTAACCTAGGTATTCTCTACTATGGGTTGCGGTCGATCGCATACTGTTAAATGATACGCACCGTGTCGAAGGTGTTTCTACATTCATAGTTACGAAAGCGACGTCTAGGCATTAAATTTAGCAGAAATTGAAGAAATAGAAGTACTATAGATACAAAAAGTATTCTAGACAAGTACGGCGCTATACGTTTTTGAGCGAGTCAACTGATACAGAAATGCTCATTTAATGAATGAATGTATACAGCCTTTAGGATTGTAAAGGTAGAAAAAACATCACTAGAAATTCATTAATGTGAAGGTTAGTCCCAACACAGGAAAACATTTTCACGCCAAACTGCGCGTTTACTCAACAAACGAAACCGTCACTCATTCGTGCTGTCTCGTAGCAGATGATGAAAAAGCTTTATCAATGCTATCATTTGTTTCCAGTGCACAAGCGAACGAATCATAAGAGTAATAGCTCGGAACGGCACTACAGTGCCGTTATATCTCAGTCGGCAGAGCTTATGATAACTGCGCCTCCGCGAGATCCGCTTTAAAGGTCCTCTTCGATATTTAGTAACTCCATATGCTAAAGGTTCGTGTAGTGGCGCGCGGACCCTAGCCCAAAGATCGGAACCCCATCCTCATAAACCGGTGCAGCACGCTTTTCTATACCTCCCCCCCACATGCCTCAGATGCAATAGTCTCACATTCATACAGAGTTACAGAGAACAATTACCAAAGGCCAATAAACCCTTGTTAGCCACGTAAATCACGGCAATAAATTTAACGTGGAAGTTGCTATTAAGTTGCTAATTGAAGGACACTTATCCTGCAAGCCAATATTTACAGAATCGAGCTTAGCTCGGTCTCAGATATCAAACACGCTGGTCAACACAGTGCACTACCGTCTAGGCCGCAGTAACGCTATATCAAGCACGAACGCGGCAGTATCTTGATATCTATCAGCTGTACTCACAACTGAAATAAATGCAAATTGAAATTCAATGGAAACGTCAACGATTTATTTATTATTCGATAGCAAATTTACCCCTATAGAAGTCTAATGCCAGCTAGACAGACTTGACTCAAAGGATGAATCCGCATGTAACAGAGGTCGATTCACTCGCGGCCGCATGACGATGTTGAGCCTTTTACTGCCCTCTGTGACATGACGTCAGTCGACCTCGTCAGCGTATAGACTCGAAAGGGCATCGTTGACGGCGGTACAAATGACAACGCAACAGATGTTGCTGCAGCTGATCGAAGTAACAGTGCTTAAATCTCGCACGATTACCTCTGTGTAGTATTAAAATTGTCGTATTACCTACGCTCAGCTAAAAATACGTTTGTTTATGGGAATTATCTATAAATGTTTGCGTTTATAAAAAGTAAAAGCTTCCGATGCTCGATGCGATTTAAAGGCAAATTCAGATATGGGAATATCAAATTGATGTTAGACGAAGAGAGCTATGTATCTTTATTTATTTGGCTAAAGAAAATTTTAGTTGGGCAAAAATATTTGGAAAATCTAAGAAAAATTTTATAAAAGATCCCCTCGAATTGTTATTCAGTGGGCGAATGCCACTAAAATAATAATAATAATAATAATCGTGCTGACAGAAACTTAATGAAAAAGATGATCGAGGGTGAAGTGTGTCCTATTCTTTGCTTCTTACGAAATCGTAGCATTTATCAGTCCAATCACAATTCACCGGCTACTTTCCTCAAAAACCCCGGCCAAAAATCATATCCTACCGTTAGACTAAGCAGGCACATAGTTCATATGGAAATTATTTTTTCGGATCACTAATACTGAGATATTTTTATAAATAATCAACCATCTAAGCCACTGATGCAAAAAATGCATGGCTTCCATCTAAGGATGGCCGTACATGTCTTGTGTACAAAACAAATGTAAAACAGCGAGTAGTTTAAGTATCTGCGGCTGGCCACGATGGTACGGAAAAGTTACAAGATGATGGACCTATTTGAGGATGTCAAGGACATTTGTGTCAGAGAATCTGAATTATACGCTAATTATAGTCAAGCTGACGTTTATCAAGTAGCTACCTAAATGTGTTTTCGTCGTTTTCAGCAACCGCTAAACGTACAATTGTAGGTTGATAAGGTGGCAGGGGATTACGTTTGTCTTAGACAACGCAAAAGCTAAAGTTGTTTTCCAGTTAGTTATCCTTCTATATCGTAACCTTTGTCTAACAAAGTTGACCAGTGGGAACATATTTGAGTGGACACTAACAGCCGGAGCCAGGATAATGTATCTGAAATTCCTCAAAATTACATCTATAGATTCCTCAGGTTTGACTTCGAGGTTACATAAAACTTCGAAAGAGATACTATAAGATATCTGAGGACGATAGTTAAAATCGATTCTTTCATTTTTACAGGAATCTTTGCCTATCCAGGAGAAGGATCAGATGTTTGGTGCGAAGTTATCAATAGATGGTGTTGAGGCAACATTGATAAATAACCCTGCAATTCACTAATCGATCTTATAGACTTCAATTTTGCACTGTTACTATAAATGTACAAACAAAAGACAGTTAAAAAGTGATCTATTATATTGATAGCTAGAAGCTGTTGAAGTACGTCTTTGTACAGATTCAACTCTGGGCCCCTGTAGGAGCCAATGTCTCCCAGAAAAGGAACATTTAAATCAACAGACGGAAACACGTTTCGAGAAAAAAATATTGATTCCGTTCTTAAACGGAGTCCGCAACTTCTAGTCTTGTTCATCAGAGTAGCGGTGCCTAACAAATAAATTGTTTGCACGACGAAACGAGCTTCAGATAGCGAACCTCTTCTATAATCATTAGTAAAAAAAAAGCAAAAAAAAAAAAAAAAAAAATAGCCAACTAGTGAATCGGCTTCTTAGTTTCCGTAACGATAGCATATATAGTTTTTACTCGTAAATTAGAAAGCAGTCCGTCTTGCAGTACATCCCGGATTAGCAGGTAGTATATCATATAATCATAACAAATAAGCATTTGCCCTATATAGATCAAAGATAAGCAATGCATGCTGGCTGCGTAAAGAAGAATTACGACACAAAGGGATCAGGTTATGCGCGATTTAGGCAAGATATATATATATATATATTGACGCCCGTTTCTACAGCATGTAATACATAGAAATTGTTCAAGTTGTTGTAGCAACAATAATGCGTATACGTTGACGTATTATAGATCTATTTAATGGTTCGGGCTTCGCAGTCGACGAACAGTAAAATTCTCTAAGCTGGGTTACGCAGTTGTTAAAGCCTTTGCCTCGAATTTCCTATGGCGATGTTCGTATATTTATGTGTATCGTGTATGTTCGATAATTAGTGTAGAGGCATTTTAATAAACATTCTGTCTGCGTATGATATATCTAGACGGAAACCTTTGTGAACAGAATTTTTTCGAGTTTCAACGAATACTGCCGAATCCCACAGTAACGTCTCGCAGATGCCTTCTTTGCCCGATCCCACTAGCCTTATATAAACATTTTGCACAAAACCAAATTTAAAGTTAGACACAAACATGTATTTATAGCACATCTTCAATAAACACCTTCCATAGCCTTCAATAATTAAGTTTATTTTTATGTTGATCTGACTGAAAAAAATAACCAGGTGGTAAAAATAGCGCTCTTCTATCTTTCTCTCTCTCTTTTGTTGAAATACTGACTGTGTTTTTCACTCGAACGGAATAGTTCTAGGTAAAGAAATCTGACTGAATTATCTTCCGGTCAGGCCGTAGTCTTAAGAGTGGCAACCGTATCCGAGTATTAGTCCCAAAGTCGTTAAGGTGTCGCTACGTCATCTGGAATAGCCACACTGAACCTGCCGCTGTTGATATCCGTTCCGGTACCAATATACTATTAAACATGGCTTCATGTTACGTAACTAATGCGGGCAGCGCGTAATTTGGAAAAAAAAATGAGTCTTAAAATGTCTGCAGTGTGTTTAACACTTTTAGAGGAGTTAGTATTTATTCTGTGTGCCTTATGAAAAATTGACATCATATTCAGTTATCTTACACAGTTTCGAAAAGTTGATGTTTGTAAGTTGGCGTATTGAGGGGGTGCACCTTTTCAGCTTAATGAAAATTTTCTTGCTTTAAACCAGTGTGTATATTGTTGATGGTCTTTTTTTTTTTGGCCATATAGCCATTGTTAATCGTTCATTACTCACTAATATAATAATGCCACTAATTGTTTCGATTCCACCGAAGTGAATTTCTGCTTAGGGCAACGATGCCGATTTCCGCCATTTTGAGAACAAGCCAAATTTTGAATCTCAAAAAAAGTCAAGTTACACGGTACCACAGTAGGTAAAGTACCTGTTGAATATCGGGCTGCCCGTGGTAAGTGCAAGAGAAGTTGTTTGTAACATTATTTCTCATTCACTCTACTAATCGATGAAAGCCTGGGCATTATAATTTTACAGTAATATTCATTTACTTTCAAATCAACCGCCTGCTATCATACGCTATAATATTTTTCTAATGTCACCGAGGCGAACGTATCATTACTAATGGTATATGTAAATCCAGTACAAAGACGTGGCACTGCCATTTTCTTCCAGCAACCATTTGCGAATCAACTTAGAACATACGTTGCGTACGCTCACATACATTTTCTATCGGGGTCAACTGACGCCTCTCACTAAGAAGTTTTCAAGTTCCTTTTTTTTTGTTTTACCTTAGTCCATACACGACTCTAGTACTTGCCGCAAGCCCCACGCGAATAGCGGTCAGAGTCGCTTCTTACGGCGATGTCGATAATGACGGCGTAGCTGACGCCGTTCACGACCTTAAATTTCATAAAATTGCCAGAATAATATACTACGCAAGACAATTCTCTCGTTGCCTCTATCTACTGAGGCTACGAATGCCACTTCTTATCGGGCTACAGATAACTAGGATCTCCAATCAACCTAGTCGTTGTTGTTGTTGTTTGCCGTCGATAGAAAAAGATTTCTTTAAGCACGGTGACTAAAAGGCAGGATATATACACATTTTTTCGTTATAATATGCGTACATGGGCTTCAAAAACTAAAATCACAGATACGATTTTACTACTACCACTACTCTTATTGATGGTTCCTATTTCCTTTTTGCTGCGAGAAACGTCACACGAACGCAAAATGGATCCTGATTAACCTGCACAAATGTCTTCATTTTCATTATGCTGTATAAATCAAATGGTCTGCACCTTTTTGCATTACACACAAATAAATAAAGTGTTCAAACCAAGCATTTTATTAAAAATGAATCGCTTATCTAGTTCTGAAGTTAATTATTCGTCATGCAAACGGACTATGAAGTTTTGGCGCAACAAAAGTTGACTTAGATGATCGTAGAACATGAAGGACGGTTGCTGACCTGCAGATTAAACATTAGGTTGACCACACCGGTTCATTAGGACTACGGTACAAGTAATGAACATTAGGACTATGATTTAAAAAATCGATGGATATAAAACGACGCTGGTTATGTGGTAACCATGCCGCTTTATAAGTCAGTTGCAGGAGCCTCAGATACGTACAGCAAGATCTACCTCGGCCAAGCTCCTAGTGAGGGCGGGTCCCTGATGTTATGTTTGAGAGAAGACTTATAGGACTTGTTAAGGTAGAGGATCGTTGACGGTAAAGAGAAAAACGGTGCATGTGCGGTACTGAGCTTCACTATATTACCTATAAACACCAGTTAGCGTATGTAAGCGACACTTCGTTTCCAGGGCATTACTGATGTGTGGAATGCTCTAGCCAATAAAGCCATACATTTAATACTACGTGGATCGACCGTGTTCTGTGTCCTACACGAAATTAAGCCGGGACCAAACAGCCTTCCGGGAGGCCTAAAAGCAGTTACTGGGTATCTTGGCAACCGATCACCGATCTTGTACCTTCTATTGGACCAGGTGTATACTAAAACTAGTCCAAGGCCCTGAAGCCAATGATCCAAAGTAAGATAAGGTTGTAGTTTGTACAATCCTTTGTTATATATATATATATATATATATATATATATAAAATTCGTTTTATTAGATTTTTAATGTGGATCTGTGTTATCTGTGCCATTACTGTCGTTGAAAGGTCATAGAGATCTAGGTATCTCGACGGTAAAAAAGGCTTCCCATTTAATATAATGTGGTACAAAAAAAGGTTTCGGTACACAAAGAACTAATAATAATAGCATGCATAATAAGCGTGAGAAAGTTTTTCTAGCTCTCTAGTGTCGTCATGGTAGCTTTCTTTAAACAGTGGAAATACTCTTAGATCTAAAAACTAGATTTGGTATGATGAGCCTAATATATCTACCACTATATTGACCTCAATTTTGATAGACATCATAAATAGTGTTTTAGAAGCGGCGTTGTATTTACATAAATTAGCTGTCGTTTAAAAGCAATGTCATGAAGCTTGTTGAGAACCAATAAAATTGGGAATCATTAAAAAGTAGTTCAAAGGTGAACGGGCATGCGCGCGGGTCCGCTGTTGCAGGACCGAACGCAAGGCTCTCCTATCATTACCCCCATCTTTAATAACCATGGTTTTAGTTCGTCCCGCTATTTTGCTGCCTTCTGCTAGCAGAGACTGTAAACTTTCGCCGAATTCGCATCTGTAAAGGTATCTGTAGCCCGCAGCAGCAACGGTAGCAGGTGTGGTAACAATATTTGTTGAGGTCCAATCTTCTACTGACTGATCGCAGTCGCTCATAAAATTGCTACCTTCAACTGATTAAGATCGTGTGCTTCATCGCATCCGAATTCAAACATTTTATAGGTTATTTCGCCTGCCAGACGATTCATCCGATTGTGCATTATTATTTGCGATTGTTCTATAGAGTTGGTTTAGTAAAATGAAAGATGATTAGATGTACAGTGGACTGTACATTTGTTCATAGATAAATGAATAACAGCAATCTTTTCGTCACGCCTATCAATATCGCACGAACCTTGTCGAGTTTACGTGGCTTTCATTAAAATGCAGCGGGCGTCAATATGCAATCCGCCAGGTTATCACTGTAGCTTCGTCTCTTTATCGTGTACACCAACATACGGAAGTACAGAGAAGTTAAACGATAGTGCAGCCATACATAGACACATACGGAAACACATCTTACTAAGTAATCCAACGTTAGAGCGGCATCTTGGCTTCTTACAGAACCGCAGAAACACCGACACTAGCGCCAGCGGAAGAAGCTCCAACAAGTCGATACGAGCAGCAAGCACCGTCTTCTTAGCTACCACCCATCGAACTAATTATCTGTTATTTCAATTTGCATTTAGCAGCACCCAGTTAGGCAAACGTAGACACATATCTGCACGAACTGTATACACTGCAGCTGGCTAAATTCGTTCGAGTAACTTATTCCAGCTTTGTCTATGGTAGAACAACAAAAGCGCACCCCTCTAATGGTGTGGAGGAGCGTCTGAAACCAGTCGAGCAGTAGAAGCAAACTGCTGGACGCAGGTCCAGCAAAGCAGTCGCAGAAGCTCCATACGATAGGGGCTGACGATTGCGCTGGTAACGGTGGCAATGGCGGTAGCGACGAACCACAGCAGCAGCAGCAGCAGCAGCAGCAGCAATAGCAGCAGCAGCAGCAGCTATGGTGGCAGCAACGGCCACTAGTGCTGGGAGCCGGTGGCGGCACTAGGAGCGAGTGCCACCAGCGCACAGCGCCATCACCGTAGTCAGCCAACCAAAGACAGCAACGACTGCGGCGGAGTGTCGATACGAATAGCGCGGCGCACAAGAAAGAGGCGCAGCAGCGCCCAGCGGACAGGCGAAAGGCGAACCAGCCATGAGAAGTGTCGCAGTTCGAGCTGAAACGATGGTAGCGGTGGAGCATTAGCAAATGGAACTTGCTGCTGAGTGGCTACGTGGTGCTGGCAAAAGATCGCCATGAGTAGAGCCCGAACATTTGAGCGAGAGGCGATCGATGAATGCTTCCTCTTAACAGCAAAACTCGCTTTAGTCGCACAGGGACTGTCATAAATAAACTGTTCCTATATTATATGCGCATTGGCTGTATAGACTGGCGTCGTTACGGGGGTGGCTGTAGGAAATCCTGTTGTTTGTTTAAAATTTTACACAGAGAGGATAGCCCATGCAGAAATATGCCTTTTTTTGATGTCATTTCATCACAACGTGTCAGGTTTGTGTGTGATAAATGCTGCCAGCAATGATCGGGCGCAGACGGAGCAGAGGGATCAACAACAATGATAACAGATCAAGGTGTCGCTAGTGACTTCGGCACAGGGAGCAATAGCAGACGTTTCAATAACAATGACAGTAGCGATAATCATTAGAATAATAATCCCCCACCTCTCGGGTTATAGTAAGCGAGAGGACAGGTTGGTTTTTGTAAGCTGCTCAGTCATGAACATCCGAGAGCAAGTGAATGACCCCCTTCTTCCGCATCGACCTCGTATCGTCGTCGATTTCTCGGGGTGGATTTATAGAAGCAACAGATAATGCCCGCCGAAAGCTGGACACCACATCAGATAAAATACGGACAGGGTCTGCAGGAAACAGACCATAACGTCACGTTACTCCTCACCAACATGGCTCGCCCGTTGCTGTCGCTTTATGATTGATCGCCAGTAGTACGACGCTTCTGATTCCTCCCTGTTTAGGAGGTCAAGCAAATATCCTCATTCGGAAAGATAAAGCGATTACTTTAAAAATGATTTTTCTCTATCTATCTATCTCCGCATTGAGCTGACTTCTAGCCCCTTCATGCCCAACACTGAGCCAGCATTTAGCATTGTCTTTCATAACGACAAAAAACGATCATCCCATGCAGAATCTAGTTTAATATAGACGTTGTTTGAAACTTGTTGCACTGCAAGCAATACGAGTTGGAAGTGTTGAATTTTTCAATTTGTACCTGCTCCGCTGATGTGTTTCTTGTAGCTTGGCGTAAAAATAATTCTAATTAAATCATATGTTCAATAATATGCAATAATAATAATAATTTGATTGTTGCATCGCCGACTCCAAAAAGCGTCTGCTTTAAGCTATCAGTCAATTCGTATGTTTCGAAATCGAAACTTACGATAACTTGTCTAGTAATGTACTATATGGAAATAAGTAACTTTACGGAAATGTTCTCTATCATATAATGTATGCTAAGAAACGATTTAGTTCAGAGCAAATTGTCAACAGTGTTAAGTCTGTCAGTGTTTCATAGTTATTTAACTGAAAGTAGTCGATAACTTTGCTTTCTATAAAGGGTCTGTCTTAAAAATAATCTATACTGTTATTCCTTAAATTGTCTCCAATCCATCCAGTAAATTGCCAATCCATATCCTGAAATTGATATTTGGTTCATTGCGAAAAGCTTAGCATCTTTTTGCTGAATGGGAAGGAAGGTAGTACGCAAACTCCGCCATAGCCTACACGCCTCTCATCGCATTTTAAATACGTATTAATATTTTGGGTTTAAGTGAAAGTTTGTTAGAAGATAATTTTGAAGGTCGATAACATCCACCATTCAATTGGTAAACCGTGACCATATCATAGGGTTTCGAGGCGTATATGCTCAAAAAGTCTCGTAACTTTACAAGTGAATAATAGATACCGTTACCGATAGAAGACACTCTTCTCTCAAAAAGACTACTACCTACCTATTCTGTAATGGTAACTTGTTTGCTTTTCTACTAAACATATGGACAAGTAAGTGATGGTCTAGTTTCAAAGCGGACGAAGACATGTAGAGCAATGCTTAAATAACGCAGTACCGGACCTAAAATCCCAAACGTCACGCGCCCATCGATGCCCTGTCGCTTGTGCCAATATTTACTCCTACCAAAAGCAGAAAATTAAAAAAAAATCGGATCAGCAAAACCGTGACTGCAACAAAGACGCACTATACGATGAAACTAACTTTTAGATCGATATCTAACGGCTCTCTTTAGAGGACTTCGACGGGGTTTTGACAGGTCTGAGAATGGCCATGATGAAACATTAGATCCGTAGCAGTGCAATGTTTATATACATTTAGCTGTTCTACGCACTGGTGTGTGTGATTGGCACAGGTTATATTCGTTGAAGCAGATTTTTGAGAAACACTAACAAGCAACAGGTATACGCAATTTCGGCATACGTAGCAGTTAATTCATAAGCAGAACGGATGCCCTCTAGAAAACATCGTAACAAGGCATATCCATCAGGGCGAGTATATGGTAAGTGCTTTTCAAGGGTTCATAGGCAATGTGCAAAGAGCCCGGATCAGAACCGTTCAACTCTATGGAATTGATGGTGCTGAAATTGTCGGTATAAATCAGTATCAACTATCTTAGTTTTTCCAACTCACTAAAATGGCTTGTATGACCCAGTCGTTGTTTCCCGCTAGAGGAAGCCCTATTGACCACTTGATAGAGTAAAGGTTCATTAGGGTTACGAAGCTTCATCAATCAATACGTTCGGACGAGTTGGACCTGCCTGTGAAAAGGTGTTAGGCGCCTGTTAACGGTACATTGCCATGCACACCAGGACAGGACAATATCCAAGGATCATTTCTTCTTTGGGGGCACAATTTTTCTGCTATTTCAGCACTCCTTTTTTGCTGTCGCACCGTGTAAACGAAGTCAGGAACTCTGAGCGGGTGGGGGCTACCAGGTCAATGCAACTGTGAGAAACTAGAACGACTACGAGCGGTGCCGCGCTGGTTGACGGAGGGGAGATTTCGATAAAAAATGGAACTGACGTAACTAGCGCGACAGGCCTGTGGCCATGACCAGTCACTACTCTGATGAGTACAAACACCTGTTCTAGTTTACTGCTTCTTACGCCAACCTTCATCTTGACATTGGATACGAGCGGAACAAGATAAATCGTGCCAAGCGCCGCGAACGTCAGTCCGAAGGCAAGAGAAATTGCCGTAGCAGCACATAGGCAAATAATTGATTTCTTATAATGGCTTCGTTAATACATACACACTCATTTGTGTGCCACTGTAACGGTACACATACCCAAAGAAAACGGCCAGATGTTGCATTTCGTCGCTGTTTGTCATCGTTTCATCATTCTAATCGTCTGATCGGATTCGACCATACTTGAAATATCGCTTTTGGCTAACAAAACGATTCTCTATTAGAGACGTTCTAAAATAAAGTCGAGGCGACAAAACACACAATGGAATAGGCTGACCATGGCTTAACAATAAGCATGTGATGGGTGGCTTTCATGCGATCATTGAATGTCTGTTAGCCGAAAACAGTGAGTAGATCAGCTGCATTCAAAAGAACTTTCCCCGATTCTAGTACCAGTTCAGGAACGGGAAAGTCAAGTGAGGGACGAACAGCGTCGCAGAGATGATCTGCCGCTGCGATTTTCAACAACAGCTGTGTTTCCCTATGCAGCGTTTTTTTTCCTAGAAGTTTTTCCAGGTCTGTCGTCCATAAAGAACAGGCTCGTAATCAGGTACGAATGCGAATAGCTAATATGGTTTCTTATGTCTCGCCGGTACTTACGTCAGTAGTAGTAGTAGTAGTAGTAGTGATGGTAATTTGTATAAAATAATTTTAGACGATTTAGTCAAGAAAAAAAAGGAAAAACTATTCTATTTTCGGATTTGTTCAACTCTGAGGCATACGGAAATTGACGGATTGAAAACGGTGCATACTGCAGCCACTAATACAGGTAATTGTTGTAATAACATTACTACTTGGTTCTACTGACAAATTTTCTCTTAGTTTGTAGCGTAAGAACGACCCACGAACGGGGTCCAACCTACGAATGCTAGGTAAACTCTCAAGCATACTGCCTAGCTTTGTGGGGTGTTAATCTGTTTAATTTAAAGGTAATTCGCAATGAGAAAACTATTTGTTTGTTGTTCGTTCAGTTCCGGTGGCCTTCTAGACGTGGCGTACGTGCTCTGAAGGTTAGACACACGCATGCATGCACAAATAGTATGTTGCCGGTGCCAAGAACAACTGTGCCATTGCTCTTCAGTTGCACAGTAGACGGATACATCTGTTGTTTCTTTTTTTGTAAAACTGAAAAATCAATCTCAACTAGTCTAGTTAATTCCTTTGTTGAAATGGCGATCTCCGTGCATTTGAATAACTGTTTGAAATTTTTTGGACTCATAATATATTCCAAAGCAACATCTCAAGTCTTCGTTGACAGGACTATTCTGATCCCCAACACAACGAGGCCCATCTGTCGATCGATAATTCACATGCGACCTATACCTATAGGGGGTAAGGACACTACACACTTCAAATTGGCTAACTGGCTTTCACAGTGACTACCCTTTCTTGTCAACCTGTGATAGTACGATTTGTCAGCTAAATACTTATCTCTAAGCTGCTCAAGGTCGACAGTTGGTCGTTTAGTCTACTTGGCCTAATTTAAAAATAGCCCTAGCATTCTCATGGATGGACAGACTTACTAGCCCCGAGCAATGTGCACCTCGCAACCTGCACTCGATACAAGTTCGCGCGGTGCAGACCTTTTTTTTCTCGGTGCTGACAATTACCGTACCGAACAGTTTAATCGAGGGCAACTGATGCGTGAGGGCAATGAAAGAACTCCGTAGAGGTGACTTGAAATTCGATTTACTTTGTTCTTTACCTTATTCGTTATAATTTATTTTATGTATTGGTAGATCTATGCTAGGCTATGACTTTTCAAGACTATAGTCGGAATGCCAATGGGTGTACGCCTAAACGAATTTTCAGTTCATATGTGATCGCTGACGCTACTCTCAAGGCGTCAAAGTAAAGGGTTATCTAGGCTTTATTAATTAATCACTAATTCTCTATCCAATTTTTGCCACCTACGAATAATTGGGAACACGCAGTCTGACATAA